AAACCAGACAAAGACACTTCAAAGAAAGAAAACTACAGACCAATATCTCTAATGAACCTAGATGCAAAAATCCTCAATAAAATTCTGGCGAATCGGATACAAAAACATATAAAAAAAATTGTACACCATGATCAAGTAGGATTCATCCCTGGGATGCAAGGCTGGTTCAATATACGGAAATCAATAAATGTTATTCACCACATCAATAGACTTAAAAATAAGAACCATATGATCATCTCGATAGATGCGGAAAAAGCATTTGACAAAGTACAGCATCCCTTTATGTTCAAAACTCTAGAAAAACTAGGGATAACAGGAACATACCTCAATATTGTAAAAGCAATCTATGCTAAGCCTCAGGCTAGCATTATTCTGAATGGAGAAAAACTGAAGGCATTCCCTCTAAAATCTGGAACAAGACAGGGATGCCCTCTCTCTCCACTTCTCTTCAACATAGTTCTCGAAACACTGGCCAGAGCAATTAGACAGACGAAAGAAATTAAAGGCATAAAAATAGGAAAAGAAGAAATTAAATTATCACTATTTGCAGATGATATGATTCTATATCTAGCAGACCCAAAAGGCTCTACAAAGAAACTATTAGAGCTAATAAATGAATTCAGCAAAGTGGCAGGATTTAAAATCAACACGCATAAATCAAAGGCATTCCTGTATATCAGCGAGCAGCGAATGATTATTAACTCTGGTTCTGACTTTTCATTTTAGGGATGAAAACCAGGAGACTCAAGTAGATACGTTGTCTGAGTTTACATAACATTTCTGGGCAAGAATGTGAAGCTAAGAATCCAAACTGGTGTTTCATTTCATGTTCCACACTGCATACTTATGAAAGGGGAAAAGGAAGAGTAATTTTGGACATTTGAAGTACTGGGGGTGTGGAAAGTGTGTGAGTATGAGGCAAGAAAGCCAGGGGAATGTCCCTCAGTCAAAGTGCTCTCTAACATTCATTTCCGCCACTCCCTGGACTCTGGAATCTCTTATCTTAAAAGGGGGGCTGGCCAACGACTCTGAGCTTTGCAAACTATGGGAAAGGGGGAGAGAAACATCCAGAAATTTCAAAACAGTTTCTGAGGCAGATTTAGGATCCACTGGAAGCTTCATTTGACACAAAATCACACTATTTGGTGTTTAGGCTATTTTAGTCTGTGAGCTCATAGGACTGAAAACAAATTCTGGGAGGAGGAGTCATTTATCTATTGTTTCAAATTTACCATTTATCTGTTCTCATTTGGAATCCAAAACTGTATTCCATGTTATTACCACACCATTCTCACGCTTCTCTTTGAAGGGATTAGGACTTTTATTATACCAGAGATGTCTCAGTACCAGAATGCCAAGACCAATGATCTCTCATATGCTAAATGAGGAATGTCTTTGTTAGCTGTGAGAGGATTAAGGGTAAAAATTACTCGTGTGGGGAACCAGACATTAACCAATGATTCTTTAATCTCTTTTGGTCTGGGATTTCTCATTAGTTAAGTGAGAGGGTTAAATTGTTATTAGTGGCTTTCTAAGCTTTTTTAACTATAATCACAATAAATACCATAAGTATGTATATATTTTAATTTTTTTTTCACTGAATTGTTCTTACTCATACAACATTCCTTTAAAAAAAAAATGTGAGTCAGGCACCATGGCTATATTTGTAATTCCAGCAGCTTGGGAAGCTGAGGCCAGAGGACTGCAGATTCAAAGCCAGCCTCAGCAACTTAGCAACACTCTAAACAATTTAGCAAGACCATGTCTCAAAATAAAAAATAACAAAAGACTGGGGATGTGGTGCACTAATTAAACTCCCCTAGGTTCAATCCCTAGTATTAAAAAAAAATCTGGTTGTGGTTATAATCTATTAAGTTGATTTTAAGAACTACTAAGGGGGATTTTTGAAAAATCAGTTTGAAAAATTCTTTATGGTGATTTCTAAGTCATCATTCATCAATGACTTGTCAGTTTAATGGGTATCTATGAGCTAGGAAAATGGCATTAAAAATCTCCTTAGGAAGCTTACATTCTGTGTGATGTGTAACACACAAACTTCAAAGAGAAAAGGGAATCTCAATTGAATTAGTAAATCCATCAAATGGGTTTGATTTAAGGGATTGAAAAGCTGCAGAAATACAAGTTTCCCCCAAATCCCAGCCAAGAGGTCACAGCAAAACTAAAATAGCCTAAACCTCAAATGGTATGATTTTGTCAAATGAAGATTTCCTGTGGGCCCTAAATCTGCCTCAGAATCTATTTTAAAATGACTAGATGTTTTTCTCCCCTTTCCCCACGGTTTGCAAAGATCAAAGTAGTTGACTAGCCCCCTTTTAAGATAAGAGATTCCAGAGTCCAGGGAATGGCGGAAATGAATGTTAGAGAGTACTTTGACTGAAGGACATTCCCCTGGCCATCTCATTCTCAAATTCACACACTCTCCACACACACCCCAGTACTTGCAAACCTGCAGTTGTGTAACTCTGCACACCAATCCTGCCCCAGAAATCATGCTATACCACTTTTACCCAGCAGAGGGAAGTGGAACACCAAAATGACTGCAGAAATAATCCAGGACACAAAGACAGCCATTTGGTATTTGTCCTGTGAATTCAGGTAGTGAAGAGTAAGAACATCATAGGATTGAAAACAAATTCTGGGTGATGCCAGTTCTGGGAAAAATATATGAAGAGGTGACTGCTCTTATTTTAGGTGACTAATCATGGCCTGTCCCATCAGGACATCTCCCATCAGGATTCCCTAGGAGGCACCTTATGGAATGAGGCTCTCTTTTAGGCTTGGCTGCTGGTAGCCTGACCTTTCAATTTTTTCCCATTCTTCATGCTTTGAAACACCTGTTAAAATCATGCAATGTCTCTGTATTCTTCTGAGTCCAGGCTTTATGCAATGACCTTCCAAACCATGGCACTTTTTACTTTAGCTGCCAGGGGTGGTTCTTAATGCTTTCTTCAATTCCACAAAGTAGGAAATGTGGGTACAGGCTGAAGTGCAATGTGTGCTCAGTGGTCATGTTTGGGAGAAATGAGATACATTTTTATTTTTATTTTTAGGTAAATTACTTTTAGGGAATTGAACCCAGGGCTTTGAATATGCTTCCACTGAGCTATATTTACCCAGCCCTATTTTACCAAAAATAAATAAATAAATAAAAAGTTATTTTTTTGTGATTCATCATTCTAGAGACTGGGAAGTCCAAGAGCATCGTTCCAGCATCTGGTGAGGGCCTAGGCTACTTCCTGGCATTTGGAAAAACAAAGGACAAGCAGAAGAAAACAAGCATGAGAGGCACTCTCATTTTATCACAGTCCTTGTGATAACCAATTCAGTCCTATGAGAGTGAAACCTCAGTCATGAGAGAAAGGCATTAATTTATTCATGAGGGCAAAGCCCTTTTGACCTAATTACTTCTTAAAGGTTCCACCTTCCAATACTGCTACAATGGCAAATTTCAACATGAGTTTCAGAGCAGAGAAACCATATTCAAACTATAGTAGCAACACTACCTGGTTTACCCTTCTCAAAGGGGATGGCATTTTTATGAAGCCACAGAATAACAGAAGTTTTCTTCACCTATGCACTTCTGGAGTTCAAATGTAGTTAAAACACACTCCATTAACCATGTAGCTAGCAATTTTTTTTTTTCTGAAATAGATAGGTACCTGTCAGAAGGCACTCCTCAAATAGAAACAGATGCAATAATGAACAATGGACTTAGGTATGACTCACCCTCCAGTCCAACAAGCTCCTTCCCTATCCAACCCAGGGAATATATATCTAAGTATAACCATGCAGTTAGGTAAGAAGGACATTTCTAAGTGTATCCTCATGCCAGGGAATTTATTTTTATTAAGAGAACTGGGAGGGAGGGATCATATAACTTGTAAGAGTTTAAGATTATCATGAAGAATCAGTGAAAATTAGTTACCAGTGAATCTGGGTGTTCAGCATCAATGAGGTAGAGAGAAGTGGGACAGGGCACTTTCATTTTGAAAGGTTGAACTTGCCATCTTGAATAATTCTCCTATTAGTTGGTGTCCATCTTAGGTCAGTGGCCAAGATAAAATGCAATAAATAGGTATGTCTGAAGTTTTCAATAACTTTAGGAATGCAAATCAATTCATGGAAGTTTTTTTTAAAATATTTATTTTTTAGCTGTAGTTGGACACAATACATTTATTTCACTTATTATTTTTATGTGGTGCTGAGAATTAAACCCAGGGTCTCACACATGCGAGGCAAGCGCTCTACCGCTGAGCCACAACCCCAGCCTTCATGGAAATTTTTTCTAAATCTTTAAAACTCCTTGCATTAGGTTAAGATTGTACCAACAGAAAAGGAAAAATGAGTTAAAGAAAAAAAATTCAAGAACAGGAAACAGGAAAGGAAGAGTTAGTAATAAAGAAACTTTTTGGGCCGGGTACCAATAACTGTTTTAGTTGCCACTTAGTGCATTCATGTTCTGGGTCCCCTGTGCTTCACACCAATCAGTGAAAACCAACAGGATGAACACCAACAGGATTTGCTCTGACAAGCACCAATAAAAGTAAAGCTGCTGTCTGTATTAGCAGTAAACTAATGACCCTGAGATATGCCTTCCCTGTCAGTCTTACTATTCTGTCATGTTCCTAAATTGACTGGTCAGAAACACCTGTTATAAAAACCAGACTCTTGGGCTCCACTATAGACCTATTGAATCCAAATCTCTGGGCATCTGAAATATGTTTGCTTATTTTTATTTTTAAGCTCCTCAGTGTGAATGTATAGCTATCTTTATTTTTTCCTGAAACGTTTTGGGAATAGGATTACATTTCTTTTAAAGAAAAATAATCTAAAGAAGTTTTGTAAAAAAGTACTAAATACAAAAATATCTATGATGAAGAAAATATATTCCCTCATTCAATTTACTTGCTTATTCTCAGGACTCAGTCTTTCTCTTTGAAGGAACTGCATTCCACCCTGTGGTTCCCATCTATTCATTGCTCCTGCAGTTATAAACCAGAAATTGAGAGATCTTTTCAGTGCAATTCTCGGCACTATCCTAGTGCACTGAGACCTACAGCAAATATGAAAGATCGTGCCTGAAAGAATGGAAAGTACGCTGAGAGTCAGGAACTGACAGCAGAATGAAGAAAGCTGAGGGGGTTAAAATAATAATAATGCAGCAGTGGAAGATAGGGATGAGATGGCTCTCTTAGTTCATTGGCCGTCCCTGAGTAACAGAAATGCAACTATGAATAATCCACAGCCCCCGCGCTCAAGAAGCAGGAGTTTGGGATAATTAACACCGTTCACTCGGACCAACCATTTACACTTCTGTGTGAATCTGGACAGCAGCCCTTTCCCAGAGTAGAGAGAAAAGAGCGCCTGAACTCATGGTACGAGCTTGGCGACGATTGGGGTGGAGGGAAGGAAGAAACTTCCGTCCCTTCCTCTGCAGTTTATATAAAGACGTGCTTCGACCCCTGACTTCGCTGCAAGAGCCAACACTTGCCTAACTGTACCCATCTCTTCCCACCCAGCCATCAGCTTCCACATTGCAACTTCTGGGCGCCTGGGAGGAGGATGGGCGGGGTGAAGCAGAAGGGGCGGGGCCACCTCCTCTAGGCCCACGGACCCCACCCTAAGTCCCAGTTCACATTACCGCGAGAACGTGGAGGGCCCCGAGCGGCGCACGCGCAGACCTGTCAAGCCCGCACTTCAGGTCCCGCCCACCTTCGCTGGCGGGAGCTCTGTTTGGCGTTACCATGGAGCCTGCCCCGGCCGGAGGACGCTGCTTGTCGCCGGGGCAACCGGGAAGGACAAAGCTTGACCGAGCTGGCGGCTGCCACACCGGCAGCGATGGTGTCTAACCCTGTGCATGGCCTGCCCTTTCTCCCGGGCACGTCCTTTAAGGACCCCACGGTGAGGACTTGTGTGCCCACCCCCACCTATCCCCGCCTTCCGAATACCTAGATGGGTTCCCACTTAGTGCTCCTCCATTCTCCACCCGAGTCAAACCCGTCTTCTGCCCGGAATTCTCTCTTCAATGCAGTTCTGTTGTTCTCTTCTACACAGCCTCATCCGCTGTCCCGTATCCTTTGCCACCCCTCCATCCCTCTTTTCAGTTTTTGCACTGATCCCTTTTTCGTTTTCATCCCCTTAGTTGCGTTCGTACTGCTGTGTTCCTTCAAACCTTCCCCTTTTTCCTCTAAATCAGTTCACCGCACCCAACTCCCAAGCTCCCGTTAGGTCCTCACCCTAGTTCCTTCTCTCACACCATACTCTTGTCTCTGCTCAGCTCATCCCTGACCTCCGATAGCCTCCTTCCTTTCGCCCGCTCAACACCTCTCCACCTTCATCCTCATCCTACCCGTTTCCCCCAGACCCGTCATTCTCGCCCTGCCTCCTTCCTCTTCTGAATCCTGGATCCTAATCTTTACATTCCCAGCTCTGTTTCCTGTCTTGGATGTAAATGGTTTCTATCCCCTTATTTCCATCGTGCCCTTTCACATAGTCTCCGCCCTTCGCGTTTCAGCTTCTATGCAACCTCATCCTTTTTCTCTCTCCAGCTTCCACATTTTGTACTGTCTAATCCTACACTCTGTCCATCTTTGTTTTCTGTTTCCATTGCAGTTTCTCTTCAAAATTTGCTATCTTCTTCCCAAACCATCACCCAAACCATCTCTGCTTTGTACATTTCCCGTTCCCCTCAACCTCAATGGGTTAAGTGCTGTTTCGTCTTCCCTCAGCCCTATACTTTCACTCTAACATTTTTGTAAAAAGCTCCTGTTCACATTGTGTTTTGCTTCCCCCAAACTCAAGTGTTTGTTGTCACATTTTCTAAACAAAATTATTTAATATTTGTTTCAGTTCTAACAATGTTACTGAATTATATGTTCTGCAAAATCAATATTGAGATTCAGTATACTGATTATCATAGATGAGCCAACGGTAATTTATATGAATATAGTTTAGTAATTTAGACTCTTAATTCCTCTCCATATTCACATAGCTAAGGTAAAATATTTAGTCAACATATTTTCTTCAGGAAAATAAATTTAAATTTAAAATGAAAGTGTAGTGAGAGAATTTGGGTTCTCTCTCCTTTATTAAGACACGGCAGCATAGATTTTCAGTTTCATTGGGTTTCCAGTTTTATGTAATTTAGAAAATATTATAGTAATTTTACTGCCCTGTACAGAATCAGCTTAAAGGCAGGCTTGAGTTGATTTGGGGGATTACAGAGATGTGAATGGAAGTGCCAGGATCTAAAGGTACTTATTGCCATTCTATAAGTAAGGCGAACTGTGCAGTGGTTATATTTCATGTTTTAAATACACTGGCCAGGTGTTAACTAATTTGCCTTATTTGAAATTTGAAAATATGGTCACTGTATCTTCAGCAGCGAAGTAATAGGTATATATAACTCTGAAGGTGAATATATATATTCAGAAGGTGAATCATAATGAGTGAGAAGGGTAGAGAGGCCTTGCCATGGGGTGCACCATGGGTCATAGCTGAGTGATGATAGTGATACCTTGTTGAAAATGAAGAAAGCAAACAAGTCACTGATGTTGCTCTTTTATTTTTTTGGTTGCTGAGGACAAAACCCAGGCCTAGCACCTGCTAAGCATGCACTCTACCACTGAGCCTTAGCCCCTTCTGATATTGTTTCTACCTTTAGAGGTAGAAGAAGAGGTGCTTGATGCTATTCAAGTTACTCAATGAGGAAATCAATTCAGCCCATTTTGGTTTGTATCTTGTGTGTTATGCACTTGAGCAGTTATGTCAAGTGACTTGTGGCACTAAACACAAGACCCTTTATAAAAAGTCCATAGTGGCCAGGCGGGGTGGTGCATGCCTGTAATCCCAGCTGCTCGGGAGGCAAAGGCAGGAGGATTATGAGTTCAAAGCTAGCCACAGCAATTTAGTGAGGCACTAAGCAACTCAGTGAGACTCTGTCTCTAAATAAAATACAAAATTGGCTGCGGATGTGGCTCAGTGGTCGAGTGCCCCTGAGTTCAATTCCCAGTACCAAAAAAAAAAAAATCCATAGTACATAACTCTTTTAGCAAGAGAAGTTTATTCTGTTGTACCTTTCATGTTGGTACAGATTTTAAAAACTGGTAGGCAGGGCTTCAAAGAAATTAGAAGATAAACAAGTAGGTCTTTTGTATTTTGTATTTTATTTTTTTTGTATTTTGGTACTGGGGATTATTCAGGGGCACTCAACCACTGATCCCCAGCCCTATTTTCATTTTATTTAGAGTCAGGATCTCACTGAGTTGCTTAGTGCCTCGATTTTGCTGAAGCTGGCTTTGAACTTGCTATTATCTTATTTCAGCTTCCCAAGCCTCTAGGATTATAGGTGTACACCATGGTGCCCAGCTTTTGTCTTCTTAAATATATATTTTGCAGTTAATTCCAAATTATACATGTAGTTAAGTATTTTACATATAAAAATTTGAAAGTAACCTCATATTACAAAGAATGGAAAAAGGAAAAATTAATCCAATTTGCTTTTCTACTCTTTCATTTTTTTATTTATCTTTATTTTTTCTAACTATTGAGAATATGTTCATTGTATATATATAATATATAAAAATAAAACACATAAAAATCAATATAATTAAAAAATGTATAATATAGACAGAGAATGTTTGCCAAATCCAGTCTCTCTTCATATTTGCATGCTCACAATTGTAGTATGATTTTTTTAGTCTTATTAAGGCATAAATCATTTTCTCCAGGTTTCTCTGTGGTCTGTAAAGCCATTATTTTAATGACTGTGTAATAGTCCATTACTGAGTTTTCCATCATTTACTCATGTCTTCATACGTTTGTCTTTTAAATTGTTTCCAAAGTTTTACTGTTGTAAATAACATTCTTATGGGATGCTCGAGGCATATAGTTCTTTCCCATAATTTTGTATTATAACCTTAAAATCAATGATCAAGAGTAGAATTATTGAGTCCAAGAATTTAAATACATGCTATCTAGTTGCTTTCCAAAGAGTTTTATGAATTTATCAGTGTGGTACATAAAAACAAACAGGGCTTTTAATATAAAGCACTTTCTAGTCCAGGTAAAAATATAATTCACAGAACTTTGTCTTCTGGGTTCCATGATTCACAATCACTGAGAAGATTAAAAAACATAGAAAAACTAGTAAAAAAATTAAGTGGATAGAGGAGCCCAGCATGGAGACACACACCTGTAGTCCCAGCTACTTAGGAGGCTGAGGGAGAAAGATCATCTGAAATCATGAATATAAGACCAGCATGGGTAACACAGTGAGACCCTGTCTCAAAAACAAAATGCAGATGAGATAGTATTTTAATCTTTCATGTAAGGTGAGCTGGTAGTTAAATTGAGCATTATAGAGAAAGATTTTAAATTTTAACATCTAGTAGTTCTTTCCCTCCTCATTCCTAAGTGTTTTAGTTTAAAATACAGAAGCTTTTAATGTAGGTAAACTTTAAGATGTAAGTTTTGTGATGTTTATAAGCAAAGGTTTGAGTTATAATATTTTTAAAATATTTTATATAACAAACATATAATGTTATTAATGACATATTTCTTTTCTTCTCCAGAAAACAGCTTTCCATAGAAGCCAGACGTTGGGCTACAGGAACGGCTATGCAGTTGTTCGACGTCCAACAGTTGGGATAGGTGGGGAGCGGTTACAGGTCAACCAGCTGTCTCCAGCAGAGCTGGATGAGTTGGCCAATAAAGCACCAGTTCTAACTTATGGCCAACCTAAGCAGGCCCCACCTGCAGAATTCATTCCAGCACATGTAGCTTTTGACAAAAAGGTATCACCTGGGATTCTAGGGTACCCTTGAATTTAAATGCCTGAAAGCCAACTGGCTACAGAAAACTTAAATAGTCAACCACAGGATTCCCACAGTGCTCTCTGGAGAAAATTGTTCAAATGCCTTAACCCTTACTCATAGACAGCTGAACTCAGGCTTGAAAGAAGCTTTCTTTAGTCAGGAAGTTGATTACAGAAAATAATTCCCTGTAGACCTCACTGGAATATTTGCAGATACAATTAAAGAAAAGTTGGTTGAATCCTAGAATAGTGAGTTCATATTGCCCTATGTTTACCAGCTCTATGTTTTCTGTTTCTTAAAAGTACTCTATTCTGCAACAATGAGAGGTGTTTATTCTTTATGAAATGCAAAATATCATCTTAAAAACAATGACCCCATCTATTGTCAGTTTTCTCCAGGCTGTCTCTATAAGTTTTTGTTTTTCAGGAAACACTTTACATTTAAATGTTACATAACCAAAGGGTCATAGAAAATTTTTGTTTGTTTCTCATTTACTCTTATGCTTTTGCAGTGTGAGTTGCTTTATTTCCATCTCTTGATATTTCCACATCATCCTTTCTTTTCTTCCCCAATCTTTTTTTCTCCTAAAAATCCTCTTTCTTATTTTAGGAACATGGTCATACATCCATTCATGGACTGAACCTAAATATGCACTGAACAAATTATAAATTATATAATTGGCTATATTATTTCCCATTTGCTTATTTTTCTTGTTTATTCATAGCCTTAGCAGGCACTGATAAATCAGTATAGAAGAGAGAGAAGTGAAAATACAAGAGAAGGGTACATTAGGTATTTAATAATTTATCAAGAAATCCTTGTATGTTCATTTTTTCTAAAAAGAATAGTAAATGATTATAATAAAGTAGAAAGTGAGGGGCTGGGGTTTTGGCTCAGCAGTAGAGTGCTTGCCTAGCACGTGCAAGGCCCTGGGTTCAATCCTCAGCACCACATAAAAATAAAATGAATAAATAAAATAAAGGTATTGTGTCCAACCACAACTAAAAATAAAAATAAAATTAAAAAAGTAGAAAGTGATATAAGAAAATATTGATGAAATTCAGAGAAGGAAAATTTGTGCCTGAATAAGGAAATAGCATTTTTGCTTTTAGTTATTTTATATTAATTGTTATTAATTTATGCTTATTTAATATTATTCTTTTTTATTTTTATTTGTTTTTAGTTGCTGATAGATCTTTATTTTATTTATTTATATGCGGTGCTGAGAATCAAACTCAACCCAGTCCTCACACATGCCAGGCAAGTGCACTACTGCTGAGTCCCAGCCCCATCCCCTAATATTCTTCTTCTTTTTTTTTTTTTATTTTTTAGACTGGGGATTGAACTCAGAGGCACTTTATCATTGAGCTACACAGCTCTTTTTTACTTTTTATTTTGAGAAAGGATCTTGTTATATTGCTGAGGCTGGCCTTGAATTTGCAGTCCTCCTGTCTTATCCTCCAAGTTGCTAGTGTTATAAGGGTACACCATTGCGTGGCTCATTGGCACTATCTTTAAAGAAATGTATTGTGGCCGGGCACAGTCACACATACCTGAAATCCTAACAATTCAGAAGCTGAGATAGAGGACTGAAAATTTGAGGCCAGCCTGGGCAACTTAGTGAGATACTGTCTCAAAATTTTGAAAAAGGCTGGGGATGTAGCTTAATAGTAAAATGTCCCTGGGGTTAATCACCAGTACCAAAAAATAAAAATAAAAAAGGATAGTATACATAAATAATATTATTATAACATTCATATATTTATTTTCCAGCTTATTTATTTTTATCTTTATGATTTTTAGATAAATAATCTTTATCATAGATATGAGACAGACAGTAGTTAAATGCATGGTTTTGAAATTATTTTGTTTATTTGTGGGCTTTTCTGAATTAAATCAGAATTCAAATGTTTTAAAGACTATCTTGAGGTCCTTTTTTTCATTTTTTTTTTATTTTTTGGTAACAGGGATTGAACTCAGGGGCACTCAACCACTGAGCCACATCTCCAGCCCTGTTTTGTATTTTATTTGGAGACAGGGTCTCACTGAGTTGCTTAGTGCCTTGCTGTTGCTGAGGCTGGCTTTAAATTCATGATCCTCCTGCTCAGCCTCCGGAGCTGCAGGGATTACAAGGCATGTGCCACTGTGTCTGGCTGGAGGTTCATTATTGATAACCAACATATTTGTTCATATTTTGGATATTCTTGAGGCTGTTCCTCATAGACAGAATATAACTTCATTTCTTCTTAGGTGATAAAGAACAGGACATTTTCTACATCTATTGTGAATCCCCTCATCTTTTCTCCTTGTTCCCATATAATTTTTTCTATCATTACACATTGTATTCTCTATTTCAGGCTAACTTCCTACTCTGTGTACCTGATGTTACTCTTCTTCCATCTTTTCATCTTCAACTTTCGTATTTTCATTTCAAACAAATATGGTATCCTTGTCTAGCTAAGAAACAATAGTAATAACAAAACCTCCTTTTACTCTGTGATTTCTTTAAGCAAGAAACTTTCTTTCTCAGTGGAATATCAGATAACTTACAATCTGACTTTCCCTGTCCTCAATCTCAAAACTCCTTTTTCCTGAGTAGCTAGTATTATCACTTCTGTGGCTCAAATGAGCAACTAGACAACTGTTAATGTAGGCTCATACGTAGTTATTTGCTTATACTCGGTCTACCACCTCCTTTATTCCCTGAAGCACAACTTTGATTCTATCACATCTTTAGTAAAATGCTTTCTGGATCCTTTAACGAATACTGTGAACATTATCACCACCCATCTGGCTGCTCTGACCCCAACTTGAAAGACATCTTTCTTTAATCCTTCTTTTTCCTCACAACTCACATCCAATCAATTAATAAGCTCTATTATTTTTAACTAATCTGTCCACGTTTTTCTATCTTCAATATTATAAATTCACTTTCCATACAGCTTATCTTTTAAAAATTGAACTATGTTACATATTGACCATGGCTGGCTCCATGACTTCCCAGTCATATGTAAAGTAATATTCAACTGTACAGTTTCCTCCTTCCCCTTGGCCTAGATGGCCCTCCCTGCTGTTTTCTTACTCTTTCCCTCATCTATTGTGTTTGAATAACAATGGATTTCTTTTCCTTATTTCCTTGAAGTGGCAGAACTTCCCCCACCCCATCCCCCCATTTCAGGGTCTTTGCACATGCTGTTCCTCCAATCTAGATGGTATTCCTTCTGATCTCAGGTGGTTCACTTTGTCTTATCATTCATATGCCTTACCTGAGGCTTTTCCTGACCACTGTACTAAGGAAATCTCTATTTTCTCTGTTGTTTTCCTTTCTTTGTTTTCCTCATGGCACTAATTTCTGGTCTCTGTTATTGTTGATAAGCTTAACATACAACCCACACAGGTAAGAGTAAAATTAAAAGAATGTAACAAGGCTTATTATTTTCATTGTATATGATATGGAAATATTTATTCAGGATTTCTTCCTTCTGGAAATAAACACAAACATTTCCATGTTTATTTGTGTTATTCTGAGCACTTCCTGGAAATCAGAAGAACTGAGTTCTAATTCTGGTCTTCTACCAAAAGCATTGTAACCCCAGAAAGTCACAATCTCTAGTTTACACATCTATAAACTCAGAAGGTTAGAATCTATAACTAGGAGCCCAGGCTGCTATAAAAAGTTCATGGAAAATACATTTTAAAACACATAAATATTTTGAAATATAAATATTTTTCCTTCCCTTTTATATAGTACATCAAATTATTCTACTTGATGTTATCCCAACTGCTTGCTAAATATCTTTTTTCCCATCCAAATTTTTTAATGGTGCATTGTAGTTGTACATAATGGTGGGATTTGTTGTTACAGATTATTACAGTCACACAATATAACAATAAGATTGGCCAATATAATTCCCCAGTATTTCCCTTTTCCTTTCCTTCCTCCTTCCTCCTGGTTTCTTTCCTGTACTCTACTGATCTCCCTTCAATTTTCATGAGATCTATCCCCCATCTTTCTTTTCCTTTTTCCTCTCTGATTCCCACATCTGAAGAGAAAACAATGACCCTTGACTTTCGGAGTTTGGCTTGTTTTGCTTAAAAAAATGTTCTCAAGTTCCATTCATTTTCCTACAAATGATATAATTTCATTCTTTTTTATGACTTACTAAAACTCCATTGTATATATACCACATTTTCTTTATCCATTCATCTATAAATGGCTGGTTCGATGTTTTAGTTATTGTGAATTGTGCTACTACAAACATGGTTATGCATGTATCAGTACAGTATAATGACTTAAATTCTTTAGGGTTGATATTGGGGAGGGGTATAGCTGGTCATATGGTGGTTTCATTCCTAATCTTTTGAGAAACCTCCATACTGATTTCCATAGTGGTTGTACTAATTTATAATCCCACCAACAGTGTAAAATTGTTCCTTTTTTTCTGTATCCTCTCCAGCATTTATTATTATTTGTATTTTTGACGACTGCCATTCTGACTGGTGTGAGATGAAATCTCCATGTAATTTTGGTTTGCATTTCCCTAATTACTAATTATGTTGAACATTTTTCATGTATTTGTTGGCTATTTGTATTTCTTCTTTTGAGAAGGGTCTGTTTAATTCATTTGACCATTTACTAATTGGATTATTTGTGTTTTTGTTAAGTTTTTTGAATTATTTATATATTCTAGTTAATAATCCTGCTAAAGAGATTTTTTTCTTATTATCTTCTTTTGCAGTGATTTCTTTACTAAAAGGAGCACAGACACTATACTTGATTACCACTCAACAAATGAGGACTTTTTAGGTTAGAGTATTCTTTACCTGAGACCTAATTTATTAACTTGGTTCTCTGTATCATGAATTACATATTGAAACTGTTATTTTACCAGTTGTGTAGATTTTATGGCAGAGGAAACTTAAGTACTTCTTTTATAGTCATATTTACCCCCCATTCTGAGGCCAAGTTCCTGTCACCAGATGCATCTACATGCCTTCCAATTTTAGAAAACAGACAGTTTAAGAAAAATGACTGTGGGGCTGGGGTTATAGCTCAGTGGTAGAGTGCTTGCCTAGCCCGTGTGAGCCACTGGGTTCAATCCTCAGCATCACATTAAAAAAATGAATAAAATAAAGATATTGTGTCCTTTTACAACTAGAAATATTAAAAGAAAAAAAAGAACATGGTTGTGGCCTCAGAATAAGTCTTTCATCTTTCTCTGTGCTCATTCCTTTGATGGGTCATTTAGATTCATAGATTGGACTGGCCTCCTAATGTTGACAAGCTGTCCTCTGAACATAACATATATAATAACCTATTTGATATATCCTCTTGAATATATAATAGATATTTAAATGAAACATGTCTAAAACGGAACTCCTAATTTCCCCCAAAACCTTGCTCCATTACCCATTACTATCAGTTTGATATTAATTCTATCTATCCTGCTTATGTCTGAGTCATCCTTGCCTATTCTCTAATGCTTATTTCTTTTCCAAAACCTTAGGTCTGCATCTTAAATTACCCCCTGCAATGTCAACTTGTGCTGTCACTTAAATTCAGTAGTCTAAAATCAAGCTCACCAGCTGTCCTGTTAAAATTATCTTCTTTTTTTCTCAATTTTTATGGTCTTACCACTGTATCCCTAGCACTGTCGTCGTCCATCCTCCTCCTTTCTCATTTTCAGTTCAGTCAGCCACCTTCTGCTTTTCCATTGTTGGTAACTAATTATTGCAGCCTGGACCATGGAAAGGGCTTTTAATGTTATTACCATACCTAGCATATCCTGCATACTGCTTCTGGGTTTCTTTTTGCTTTTTTGTTTGTTTTTGCATTACAATTCTTATTACATATATATATATATCACAATTTTTCATATCTCTGTTTATATATGAAGTATGTTGACACCCAATTCAAGTCTTCATACATGTACTTGGGATAATGATGTCCATCACATTCCACCACCCTTGCTAAACCCCTGCTCCCTCCCTTTCCCTCTTACCCCTCTTCCCTATCTAGAATTCATCTAATCTTCCCATGCTCCCCCTCCCTACCCCACTATGAGTCAGCCTCCTTATATCAGAGAAAACATTCAGCATTTGTTTTTTGAGGATTTATTAACTTCACTTAGCATTATCTTCTCCAACGCCATCTATTTACCTGCAAATGCCATGATTGTATTCTCTTTTACTGCTGAGTAAAATTCCATTGTGTATATATGCCACATGTTTTTTTTATCCATTCATCCACTGAAGGGCATCTAGGTTGGCTCCACAGTTTAGCTATTATTGTGAATTGTGCTGCTATAAATGTAAACATTGATGTGGCTGTGTCCCTGTAGTATGCTATTTTTAAGTCCTTTGGGTATAGTCCGAGGAGAGGGATAGCTGGGTCAAATGAGGGTTCCATTCCCAGATTTCCAAGGAATCTCCATACTGCTTTCTATATTGGCTATACCAATTTGAGTCCTACCAGCAATGTATGAGTGTACCTTTTCCCCCACATCCTCTCCAACACTTATTGTTGTTTGTCTTTATAATAGTTGCCATTCTGACTGGAGTGAGATGATATCTTAGAGTAGTTTTGATTTGCATTTCTCTGATTGCTAGAGATGATGAGCATTTTTTTCATTCATATTTGTTGATTGATTGTATATCCTCTTCTGAGAAGTGTCCAGGTCTTTGGCCCATTTGTTGATTGAGTTATTTGATTTTTGGTGCTTAGCTTTTTGAGTTCTTTATATATCTTAGAGATTAGTGCTCTATCGGATGTGTGAGGGGTAAAAATTTGCTCCCTGGATGTGGGCTTTCTATTCACCTCACAGATTGTTTCTTTTGCTGAGATTGCTTCTGGATTTCCTTCCTCTTTTTCTGTTATTACATTGCCTAAAATCCCCTCATGTTCCCTTTGCTTATCTAACATTTTCTCACTCTTCAAGTCTAATATGTATTCTCAGTTAAGATTTCTCAGACCACCTATGCAGATTTTTTTTTTGAACCATCATATTATCTGTTATCTAGGAAATAGTGAGAGATGTGGAGAGAACATTGGGCTATGAGTCAGTAGACTTACAGAGTTTCAATCTTAGCTCTGATTCAATTCCTCATATGGCCTCAGACAAGTCACTGTGGCAACCTGGGTCTAAGTTTTCTTTGTAAAATAAATGGGGTTGGATTATCTGATCAATTCTGTTTTAATAGTTTGCATGGTTATAAATCTGTGACTCAAATACAGGCTATTTCATATTGAATTACTGTGATCATATCTCCACTTGTAATTTTTTATAATTTACCCAAAATTTTACTTAATTATCTTTGTCTTTTGTTTTTACTATTTTTCTGCTTTAAATATTCTACTACACTTAACCATTTTACCTTTTTATTATGAGTTTTAAGGTCTTCATTTCGTTGTAGTTATTTTTCTCCTAGGCAACAGCCAGTTTTCTTTCTTTCTTTTTTTATTTTGTTCTTCCACAATAGATACTTTACCCTTTCTAACAACATTGATGTGTAGAATTATTTTTCTATTCATCAAGCTGTTCTTGTGTCTTCATTTAACGGTTTTCTTGATTTGTTTCTCTGAGTCTAGTAGAAGCTTGGGTAAACTCTCTGGTCTACTTAGAGTATCATTCTGATACTTTCTTTCTCTGAAGAGAAATATTTTTAATTTCTTAATTAAAAATATTTTAATCTTAAATATTTTTAATTTTTCAACCATTTAAATAGGTTTTATAAAAACCCTCTAGGCCTATATGTCATAAAAAGAGGGTGACAGGGTAGATTTATAGTTTGGTCATGGATTGCAGTTTGCCAACTCTTGATTTAGAGAATGAATAATGAGTATTCATATCTCCCTGTGTGGTCCTCTTTTTCAGGAAGGTACTTAATGTTTTTTAGATGACAATGACAAACTAATACTACACCATTTCTCCTTGCCTTGTATATTATAGGTGCTGAAATTTGATGCCTATTTCCAGGAAGATGTTCCTATATCAAGCGAGGAACATTATAGAATCCGTCAAGTGAAAATTTACTACTATCTAGAAGATGATAGTATATCTGTAATGGAGCCTGTTGTTGAAAACTCTGGCATCCCTCAAGGCAAGCTAATCAAACGCCAGCGTATACCCAAGAATGATGTAGGAGACCATTATCATTGGAAAGACCTAAATCGAGGAATAGACATAACCATGTATGGCAAAACTTTCCGAATTGTTGACTGTGACCATTTCACACAGGTATATTATGTATTTGTGGAAGTTGTGGGATCTTAGGCATCATTCTCACTTACAGCCAGATAAGTTCGTTTCTTAGGGTAATGGGAGGACACTGATAATCTGTCCTGTGTGAATTATTATGTAGGTTAACTTAAGTATTGGTGTGCTATGTGTTGATATGTGCCAACACTATTTGAAACATTATTTTTTTAGAATGACATTAATACAGATCCACTCAAAATCAAGCTCTACCATAGCTGAATCATTTAGTAAGAAACCAGTTGCAGTGGCAATTCAGATAGGAAGTAGGAAAGGTAATGCCTTTAATGGGATAGAAGTAGGGAAGAGGAAGAGGCATTGAACATTTTAAGTTCAAGTTTATAAAGACAGTACCACCTCTATTAACAAATAGGAGCCCCAAATTTCTATGTGTAGTTTATATAGTTTTTAAACTATATTTTGCTATATTTGAGGGAAATTTATCTGATGGATTTCTGAAAAAAAAATTTTTTTAATATTTTATATCAAGAAAAATCCTTCACTTTCTCTATTTTGTAAATTTTGATTTTTTTATGCAAAATTGGCTTTTCTTAATACATGTGATATGATGACTTTTCTTTAGCATAGAGTATAAATATTAGGAAGTCAATACAAACTTTTTCAGTTTAAAGAATTTCTAGCAGCAGGCTTTTATGCCCTTAATCTCATACTACTTAATGCCAAATGTGATTATTACATGCACTGAGCTCCTATGAATTCATCCATTTTTATTTGACAACTTTTTAATAAATATTTACTATATACAGAGACTAAAGGGAAGTGAAGTAGTTATAACTATAATGTCACCAAAGACACTGAATTAATAAATACTGAACCATTGTTCTTGGGACAAATGCAGGTTTAGGTTTCTTCTGATCTCTGGTCAAAACATTTTTGTCAAACAATATATACCTTTTTTATGTATGTTTCTGTTCAAAGACACTTGATTTAATATATATTTCATTCATTAACATTGAGCTCATGACCAACAGCACTATAACTCACACCCCAAAGAATCTTATGTAACACATGTATTTTCTCCATCATTGGAGAAAATGGTGTGTTAGCCAATTGAGGCTACCATAACAAAAGCTCTACACTTTAAGACCTTTTAAACAGCAAAATAACCAAGAAAAAGGAGAAAAATGAAAAACGTGGCAAAAAAGATCCTTTTTTATAATGTGAGAACTAGAACAAGAAGGCAAATCTTCACCTTTTCTACCTCCTCTGAGAATGTATACATCTGGGCAACTCAAATTTTCTGCAACCTGTGCATGTCTGTGAATGACAACATTATGTAAGAAATATTGATTTTAGGGTTACAAGTAGATTTTAGCAAGTAGGGAAATTCACAAATATGGAATCCATGAATGTTGAGGATCAGTGTATTTTAATAACTGAAATTTGACTAGAGGTATATATTTCTACATTTTAAAACTTACATGTTTGAACTTGGCATGTGGCTCAGTGATAGAATGCTTGCCTAAGCATGCATGAGGCCTTAGATTCCAGCACTGCAAAAAAATAAAATTATATAAATAACTAAAAACATACACATCTAATTGGTGTTCTTCATTAGGGGTGGACCTCTGAGAGGATAGAGCCCTCTCAGAGCCCTTTTCACAGTCCTCTCATAGCCCTTTTTCACTCTTTTGAGACAGCGTCACACTCAGTTTCCCAGGCTGGTCTCAAACTTGCAATCCTACTGTCTTAGCCTCCCAAGTCTCTGGGATTACAGATGTGCATCACCATGTTCAGCTATTATACTTTTAAAAGGATGGAATGTCAAGTTGTATTAAAATAAATGCCAGAATTTATGGCATGATTTGAATCCAGAAACAGCGCCTCTCACCACCTCCTCACTGCTCCAAATAAATATTTGGGGCTACAGTCTGAATTGACTAAACACATTAAAAAAGTAAATCTCCAGAAATCATAGATCTAGAATATATTATTTTTTGTGAGAGTATTGTTGCTAGTGTAACAGGTGTAAATCCTACTGCACCAATGCTTATGTGCAAGAAATATTGTTTTGTTTCTAAAAAAATAACATAAACCACCTTGAGACGCAGTCTAATTTGGCTGGTATGTTAGGCAGTTGAGGTTACCATAACAAAAATACTGTAGACTTGATGGCTTAAACAGTATAAATTTATTTCTTCTGGATGCTAGAAGTTGGAGATCATGGTGCTAGATAATGGAGGGGTTCTAGTGAAGGTTTTCTTCCTGGCCTGCAGACAGCCCAATTCTTTGGTGCTCACATGGCTTTTTTCCTTTTTTTAAAATATTTGTTTTAGTTATACATGGGCAAAATATCTTTATTTTGTTTATTTATTTTTATGTGGTGCTGAGGATCCAACCCAGGGTCTCACACATGTGAGGGCGAGCACTCTACCGCTGAGCCACAACCCCAGCCCCTCACATGGCTTTTTCTTAGTGCATGTACATGGAGGAAGAGAGGGAAAGAGAGCATGGGCACAAGTGAATACTCACAGAAATACTTTTATTTTTCTGACTAATCCTATTGGATCAGAGCCCCACCTTTTTTGGCCTCATTTAACCTTAACTACTTACATACATAAAGGCTCCATCTCCAAAGAGTCATGTTGGGCATTAGGGATTTAACATATGAATTTGGGGGAGGGGGGTACATAAACATTCCATCTATAACAGCTAGTGTTTCTAATCATTAAACTTTGCCAAAAATTCCAAGCCCTAAGAACAACAAGAAATCAGACCCACTCCTAGGCCAAAAGGATCATATAGGCAGGGCCCACAGACTGTCCAGAGACCAAGGGCACCTCCCTGATGCTTTGGTACTAGTAAGATCCTGGATCTCAGAATAACTGAGATTGGATGGCCTGTCTGGGGCTACATGTGTACTTCAGAGAACTGACACTGAGCACATATACAGGTCCTGCTTGTTTGAGGCCTACCAACCTGTAAATTTTCTAATCTGGAGAAACTTTCTGCTTTCTCGTTTCTTGCCTCAAAAATTATTCCATTTTCTGTTATCTTCTTGGTACATTTTAGAGTAATATCTTCAAAGAGTTTAGGCTTCTTTAAAAAATAGGAAAACTTCAGGAAGCTTCTGTTCCTGCCAGAATTGCTAAGGTAAAATTTAAAAAGGGCTTGCTTCTGTTGGATGTAATAGAAGAGAGTAAAACACCCATTAAATGCTTCAGTCAATAATTGTGTTACACTAATGCTTCATTTCAAGAGAAAATTTTATAGTTATTATCTCTAGTTCAATAGTTTTAGTGGAAGTTAAGATTATAATATTTTCATACTGAAATTATATTGGATATAATATCTAATAAAACTTAATACTGACTTCACATGCTAGTTAGCAGTAGAGCTAACACTCAAACCAATGTATCATGGCCCTGAGTTCTATATAATTTTTTATTGAATTGTCCAAAAGAAAGCTATATGATTCTCAAATTTTTTTGTTAATTTCCAGTTCAAAAATGTCCTATTCCTTTCTGATATTAATTAAGGTACAGTTTATTGCACTTTTTCTTTCTTTTTTAAAAATATTTTGTTAGTTGTTGATGGACCTTTATTTATATGTGGTGGCCGAGAATTGAACCTAGGGCCTCACACATGCTAGGCAAGCTCTCTATCACTGAGCCACAACCCCAGTGCCCTATTGTGCTTTTTCTTTTCTTTTCTGAACTGGGACTTGAACCTCTGAGCTATATCCCAGATTTTTTTTTTTTCCTATGCTGGCAATTGAACTCAAGGGTGCTGTTACATCCACAGCCCCTTTTCAGTCTTTTGAGACAGCATCACACTCAGTTTCCTAGGCTGGTCTCAAACTTGCAATCCTACTGTCTTAGCCTCCCAAGTCTCTGGGATTACAGGTGTGCATCACCATGCTCAGCTATTATACTTTTAAAAAGATGGAATGTCAAGTTGTATCAAAAGAAAATTACTTAGAAAATGATATTTGAATTTGTAATTAGAAAAACAAAATTGAAGATCTTATCAAATTCAGTTGATTTTATTGACTTTTTCTAGTGAGATATGAACACTTGATTTATCTTTCCTATTTTGCTAAAACATTTTTTGGTCTAAAATAACCAGTGGTTATGCTTTCTTTTCCTTTTGGTGAGGGAGATCAATTTAATAATATACTTGTTTTAAGTAAATTGGAAAGTTGGGATATGATTTCATCTTAGCCATTGTTCAGCTTGCTTGCAGACCAAATGTGAATTGCATACTGTTGAAAACATAATTAAGTTCCAGATGTGTGTTTTGAAGCAAAATACACACACAGTAATTCTAGGATTTACTCTTCTCTTGGGCACCTAACTTGATTCATCTAAATTCATATTTGAATCCAGTTACCTTACCATTATGTCTCCCAACTAACCTAGCAAATAACCTACCAATTTTATAGAATATGGAATACTTTGGGTAAATATCAATCATTATTTCTATCACCATAAAGTTAACTGAAGATAATATTTCTATGATATGCTCAAGCTACAAACTAGCGGTTAATTTGCATAATGGCATATGTATTATTATTGCACCTATTTTATACCATCAGTTTATTACTTATTCCAAGAAGCTCTAAGAAAAATGATCATTATTAATTTTGAAATATTTAGGTATATTTGGAAAGTCAAGGAATTGAATTAAATCCACCAGAAAAGATGGCTCTTGATCCTTACACTGAACTCCGGAAACAGCCTCCTCGTAAGTATGTCACCCCATCGGACTTTGATCAACTTAAGCAGTTTCTCACCTTTGATAAACAGGTAAGTAACCTGGGAAAGAAGGTGAACTTGTTTCAAAATATGGCACATGTGTTTATTGGCAAGCTGTTTTACTAGCTTTATTGGTAATGACTTTAAAATATTATATCTGTAATTTAACCATTTGGATATAGTGCTGTCTTTTTGGTTTCATGTAGGATTAGAGTTATGCCAATGGCTAAGTTTCTTACTAGAGATCAAAAGAAGATTGTGGAGTTAAGTTTTGTGAATCTCAACATATGTTCACATCCTGAGCTACATCTACCCCCACTTTACATTTTCAGTTGACCATTTCTTTCCCCTAAAATGCATTAATTTCATAGAATCTTTTTGGAAAACTTGAAGTGGATTATTGGAAAATTTCAAAGATGTTGCATATTTATTAGTTTCTAATATTAAAATAGTTAATTTCACAGAAACCTCAGTATAAATGCTTCCTTGTTAAATGTTATGCTAATGTTGGAGTACAGAATATTGTGAACATTTTCCGACTCTCTGTTCCAACCTTCCTAATTCTTCTCCTGGTAAGTCCAAGTGTGTAAACTGATTGAATCTTCTTTCCCTAGTAAAGAGGAAGTGAAAAGAGAAAAATTACCCTTAATACTTGGTTATTTTCCCACCTCTCCCAGAAGTTAAATTTCTTTTTGTTGAGAAGATGATACCTAGTGCTAGGGTCATCTTTTAAGGATTTTCTTTGTATTAGTCATTATCTGTTATTACTTGCTATTTAAAGATTATGTTGATTCTATTACTAGAAGATGTGTGCTAATAGAACCAGAAAAAAATAGACTGGTTAATAGTTAATAGATGAAAATTCTTTCCATCTTTTCATACTAATTATATGTCAACCATTCACATGTATCTTTATTGATTTATGTAAGCCACTGTACAGAGTACCTCTTTACTCTTTTAATTCAGCTTCTCTTTCATTGATGAACATTTTGAGTTAAAGTAAGCTCTTCTTAGTACAAATAAGCCTTTTCTTCTCTCCAGCTATTAACATCTGATATGTACCCCAAGATGTTTTAGGATCTTTGATGAATATTTCTTTTTTTCCATTTATCATCTGAAATTATCACAGTCTTTCCAAATAATCATTTCATCATTGTCTCATGTATAATGCCAAAGTAAGTTAAACTCTCCAGTTCTAGGATTCTTACTTAAGTTTTTACTTTGGATTCCACAAAGGTTCTTCGATTCTATGCAATCTGGGATGATACAGACAGTATGTTTGGTGAATGTCGGACCTATATCATTCATTACTATCTAATGGATGGTACGGTGGAGATTCGAGAGGTCCATGAACGGAATGATGGGAGAGATCCTTTCCCACTCCTAATGAACCGTCAGCGTATGCCCAAGGTTTTGACAGAGAATGCAAGTATGTTCAAATTACCCTGTTATTGAGGAATTTTTTTTTAATCTTTAAGGAGTTTTTTATTCAGTGTGGTTGTTTCTTTACACTTGAAAAGTTCTAGATGTTTTCTTAGCAAATGGTTCTTAGGTTCTTAGCAAATGGCTTTCCCACAATACCCCACCTTTAACTTGATTCAGACTTGACTCCCAGACAATCTGGTAGAGATGACTCATATGTAGATCAAGGAAACCAAGCAAAAATAGCAGTGGGAGATTAATTTAAGGAAAGGTGGAATAGGCTTCTTAACTGAAGTGATTTAATAATGGATTTTTATTGTGCTTTTTAAACAGGACTTGTGATTTAAGGATATAGCTTAGCTTAGCATTTTCTTATATGCTTTCCTGATTTCGATTCTCATCTCAACTAATTTGTAAATAGGAAATTTCTATGTGTTTAACTTGAGATTGGGAAAGACATGTCTGTAACTCGGAGGGAGGAGTCCAATTGCTCAGAACCTACTCTTTTTTCACTGATCTAAAATAACACCTTGCATGTTAGATGGTAAGAAGGCAACAAAATGGTAATGGGTACCTGCTGTTTAATATTTCCTAGGATAAGGAGGCTTGCTTTACTTATTGACTTAGCAGTTAAAGACTTTTCTCTTACAAAATGTCATCTTGGTCACATGTAATAGCATCTCCAATGTTTGAGAGTGAAACAATTTTGCAAATGTGTTCATTGATTTTTTTTTTTATTTTTACTATGTTTTTTGGAACTAGGAGATAAGAAATTCTAGGTATTAAGCAAGAGGTTTGTCTAGATTAGTGGCTGTAAACAAATCGGACAGTGCAAAGACTAAATTCAATCCACCCAAATGTATTTCTTAGCCTGTACAGTGTTGTTGTTTAATGCAGTGTTTTTTTGTGAGCAAGGAGTTGGAGGATTTTTATCCCTGTGAATATAGATAAATAGAATGTGGTGAAGGTGCACCTTGATTACTATGAATTAGTGAGAAGCAATAAACAAGATGTACACAGAGAGCAAATGAATGGATCTAAAAAAGAGTGCTGTGTAGAAAACAAAGAAATAGAACAAAATGATGCACTAAAATTTATATAATGTGAAACCCACGCAGAACAGTACTACACATGGTACACATTCAGTCAAAAATGCTGCACATTAGTGGCAGAGGAGTCTGGGGTTGGTCCTTTAGAGTGATTCTGACCAGAGTTAGAATCCTACAATGCTGGACCACAGGCCAGTGACTATGGATGAGGCATGTGGGCCTACCTTGACCCATGGGAGAGGATTGGGGAGAATGGACTACCTTTTTGAGGTATTCCCTGGTTCATGCTGATCTCAAACAGCAAACTATTGCTGCATCTCAAAGAATTAGAAGAAAAAGATCAAACAAAACCTAAAATTAGTAGAAGGAAAGAATAAAGATAAGAAGTAAATGAAATAGACACTTAAAAGAATGTAAAAAAATCAATGAAACAAAGAGCTGGTTCTTTAAGAAGATTAAAAAAAATTGACAATACTTAGCCTGACCAAGAAAAAGAGAAAAGACACAAATAAAATCAGAGATGAAAAGGGAGACATTATAGTTGATACCACAGGCATATAAAAGATCATAGGAATTATGAGCAACTATATCCCAGCAAACTTAATAGCCAAGAAATGGACAAAATCCTGGACACATGCACCTTATCAAGACTGAATCATGACAAATAGGAAAGTTGAACTGACCAGTAACAAGTAACAAGTTGATGAATTCGTAATAAGTTTTCCATTAAAGAAAAGCCCAGAGACAGATTACTTCACTGCTGAATTCTACCAAACACTTTGAGAAGAACTAATACCAATTCTTCTCAAATTATTTTAAAAAACTAAAAAGGTAGGAGTTATTCTAACCACAGTCTATGATGTCAGTATTACCCTGATGCCATAACCAGACAAGGGTATAACAACAAAAAGAAAACTAAATGATTAAAAAAATTGATACGGAGGCAATTCTTTGAAACAAATTCTATGAGGCCAGCTTTATGCTGATAAGAAAATTATAGGCTGATATCCTTGATGATCATAGATTGAAAAATCCTCAACAAAATATTAGTAAACCCAAACCAACAGCACATTAAAAAGATTATTCATCATGATCAAGTGGTTTTCATTGCAGGGATGCAGGATGCACATGTTATGTTTTAGATTTGAAATATCTCCCAAAAGCTCATGTATGAGACAATGCAGATTTTTTCAGAAGTGAAATGAGTAGATTATAAGAATTGTGTATTAATCAGTGGATTAATCCACTGATATGAATTAACTGGGGTAGTAACTGTCAGCAGCTAAGGTGTGGCTAGAGGAAGAAGATCACTGGAAGCATGACTGTGGGGTTTATATATTCTCCCTGATGAGCAAAGCTCATACTCTGCTTCTGGTGGCCACATTCCAAGTAACTTTCTTCTTCCACACCCTTCTGCCATGGGCCTCACCGCAGGCCCAAGGCTATGGAGTAGGCAGACCATGGACTGAACCTTTTAGTCCATTAGCCAAAATAAACTTTTCCTTCTCTAAGTTGTTCTTGTCAGGTATTGGACACAGCAGCGAAAAGCTGACTAAAACATGTGATATGCCATATCAACAGAATGAAGAACAAATACAACATGATCATCTCAAGAGATGCAGAAAAAGCATTTGCTAAAATTCAACCTTTCTCGCTCTCTTTTTGGTTTTCATACACTTTACTATTTATTTATAATATTCAACATCTCTAACAATGAAAATGCTGGGGTAAATTAGGTAAAGAAGGAATGTTTCTCAACACAATGCCCATTTAGAAGAAGCCAATAGCTAACATTATACCAAATGGGTAAAAGCTGAAAGTTTTCTAAGATCTGCAACAAGACCATAATGCCCACTTTCACTTATCATAGTACTAGAAATCCTAGCCAGACCAATCAGGCAAGAGAAAGAAATAATAAAAAGCATCAAAATTGATCAAGAGGAAGTCAAATTGTCACTGTTTTCAGATGACATGATCTTATATGTAGAAAACCCCAAAGACACCACCAACAAAAACAACAAAATCAGAACTAAAAAGTTAATTCAGCAAATTTTTAGAAAATAAATATACAAATATCACTAGCATTGCTATATGCCACTGTGAATTATCTGCAATAGAAACAAAGATAGCAATCCTATTAACAATAGCTACTAAAACCAAACACACAAAAACAACTAGGAATAAATACCTAGAGGTGAAAGATCTCTACAATAAAAATTAAAATTATAGAACACTGATGAAAGAAATTAAAGAGGACACATAAAATAGATATCCTGTGTACATGGATTGGAAGAAGCAATATTATTAAAAAGTATATACTAAGCCCAGATCTGCCTCACTGACCTACGCAGGAGTTCTTGCCCAAAGTAGGCCTGAGACCACCCCGTGATCAGCAGACACCTGCCAGAGCTCAGGCTTAGCCCAGGACCTCCTCTGCTCACTGGTAGATACCCACCAAAGTCAGGCTGAGCCCAGATCTGCCTCGCTGACCTGCGCAGGAGCTCAGGCCCATGGTAGGCCCAAATCCATCCCATCAATGGCAGACACCAATCAGAGCTCAGGCTTGGCCCAGGACTACCTCTGCCCACCAGTAGATACTGCTGCACTCAGGCTCAGCTCAGACTTGCCTTGCTGACCTGTGCAGGACCTGGGGCCCAGGGTAGGCCCAAGTTTATCCCATCCCTAGCAGACACCTGCCAGAGCTTAGGCCCAACTCAGACCCAACTGGCTGACCTGTGCAGGAGCTAGGGCCCAGGGTAAGTTTGGGTCTGCCACACTCCCACCACCACCTGGGAGCCCAGGTCTAACCTACTTTCATCTTGAGACACTGCAGCCATCCTCAGAGCCTTCTCCATGCAGTAGCCTCTACCTTGGACAACAGAGAGGGCCTAGAAGCAGCTGCATCTTGGAACAGGAATCCCAAAGCCAGTCTAAGGCCCACCCTTTCAGCCCCATCTCTGAAAGACATTGTATTCATCTTGGGGCACTTTCCACTGCTATCTCCAGTTACCTCCTGCTATTGACACCTATAATTGCAGTAGCATCTGTCCTGGGACACTGGCAGGGCCTGAAAGCCCAACACCAAGGTGAAATACAGATAATCTGCACAGATGCTACAAGATGATAGGGTAGAAATTGTAATACCTCAGATCCACACTGCAAGTAAGGAAATTCCATAGACAACATGAAAAAATAAGGGAGGAAAGTGCCCCAAACAAATCAGGATACTACAATAACAGAACCCATAGACAGTGCAGTTGATAAAATGTCAGAAAAGGAGTTCAAAATGTTCATAATTAAAATGGTCTGTGAATTAAAGAATGACCTAAATGAGCAAATATAGGCAAAAATTGGTCACTTCAACAAACAGATAAGAGAGCAAATATAGGCAACAATTGAAGACACCAATAAATAGATAAGGGAGCAAATACAGGCATCCATTAATCACACCAACAGAGAGATAAGGGAGCAAATACAGGTAGAAAAAGATTACTTCAAGAAAGAGATAGAGACTCTGAAAAAAAGAAATCAGAAATCCTTGAGATGAAGGAAATAATAAACCAAATAAAAAAAACTCAATAAAAAGCGTCACCAACAGACTAGATCACTTGGAACACAGAACATCAGATAATGAAGACAAAGTATACAATCTGGAAAATAAAGTTGACCACACAGTGAAGATAGTAAAAAACCATGAGCAGAACATCCAATAATTATGGGATAGCTTCAAAAGACCAAATATAAGAGTTATTGGGATAGAGGAAGCCACAGAGTTTCAATCCAAAGGAATGCACAATATCTTCAATGAGATAATATCAGAAAATTTCCCAAACATGAAAAATGAATTGGAAAATCAAATACAAGCAGCTTACAGGACACCAAATGTACAAAATTACAACAGATCTATACCAAGGCACATTATAATGAAAATGCCTAGCATACAGAATAAGGATAGAATCTTAAAGGCTGCAAGAGAGAGGAATCAGATCACATATAGGGGGAAACCAATTCATATCTCAGCAGAGTTTTCAACCCAGACCCTCAAAGCCAGGAGATCCTGGAACAGCATATACCAAGCTCTGAAAGAAAATAGGTGCCAACCAAGAATCTTATATCCAGCAAAATTAAGGTTTAGATTTGATGATGAAATGAAAACCTTCCTTGATAATCAAAAGTTAAAAGAATTTACAACTTGAAAGCCTGCATGATAGAACATCCTAGGTAAAATATTCTAGGAAGAGGAAATGAAAAACAATGATGAAAATCAGCAGAGGGAGGTATTACATTAAAGGAAAAAAACTAATCGAAGGAGAAACCAATTCAAGTTAAATACCAAAAATAATCAAAAGTGGCTGGGAATACAACACATATCTCAATAATAACCCTGAATATAAATGGCCTAAACTCACTAATCAAAAGACATAGACTGGCCAGATTGGATTTTTAAAAAGGCCCAAAAATATATTGCCTCCAGGAGACTCATCTCATAGGAAAAGACATCCACAGACTGAGGGTGAAAGGTTGGGGAAAATCATACCATTCCCATGGACTGCAGAGGCAAGCAGGGGTTTCCATCTTTATATCAAATAAAGTAGACTTCAAGCCAAAATTAATCAAAAGAGATAAAGAAGGATATTTCATACTGCTTAAGGGAGTCATTCATCAAAGAGACATAACAATAATAAATATATATGCCCCAAACAATGGAGCATCTATATTCATCAGACAAACTCTTCTCAAGTTCAAGAGTCAAATAGATTACAGCACAATACTTCTGGGTGACTTTAACATACCTCTTTCACCACTGGATATATCTGCCAAACAAGCTAAACAAAGAAACTATAGAACTCAATAATACAATTAAAAACTTAGACTTAACTGACATATATAGAATATTTCATCCTTCAATGAGCGAATACACTTTCTTCTCAGAAGCACATGGATCCTTCTCTAAAATATACCACAAAGCAACTTTTAGCAAATATAAAAAAGTAGAGATACTACCCTGCATTCTATTAGATTATGATGGAATGAAATTCGAAATCAATGATCAAATAAAAAATAAAAGCTATTTCAACACCTGGAGACTAGATAATATGCTACTGAATGAATAATGGGTTCCATAAGACATTAAGAAGGAGATTAAAAACTTTTTAGAGTGAGAACACAATTCTTAGAATGAGAACACAAATCTGAGACACTATGAAGGCAGTATTAAGAGGAAAGTTCATTTCATGGAGTTCATTCCCTAAAAGAAGAAAAAGTCAACAAATAAATGACTTAACATTACATCTCAAAACCCTAGAAAAAGAAGAACAAATCAACACCAAAAGCAGTAGAAGACAGGAAATAATTAAAATCAGAGCTGAAATCAATGAAATTGAGACAAAAGAAATAATTGAAAAAATTGACAACACAAAAAGTTCATTCTTTGAAAAAATAAATAAAACTGACAGACCCTTAACCATACTAATGAAGAGAAGGAGAGAGAAAACTCAAATTACTCACATACTGATGATAAAGGAAATATCACAACAGACACTACAGAAATAAAGAAGTATCCAAGGGGGATAGGTTTCAGGACCCTGTTGAGGAAATCAAAATCCACAATGCTCGAGCTCCTTATATAAAATACATAATATTTGCATATTAACTACATACATCATCATATATATTTAAAATAATCTCTACATTATTTATAATGCCAAGTGCAATGTAAAGGGTATATAAATGGCTATTTAGGGAATAATTCCAGGGGAAAAAATGTCTGTACACATTCAGCACAGATGCTATATATATATATATATATATATTTTAAAAAATACTTTTAATATGCATGTGTTGAATCTGTAGATGCAGAAACAATGAACAATGAGGGCCAAGTATAATAGGAAATTATGGAAGTATCTTTTTTTTAGATGTTCATGGACCTTTATTTTATTCATTTATTTATATGTGGTGCTAAGAATCAAACCCAGTGCCTCACACATGCTAGGCAAGCACTCTACCACTGAGCCACAGCCACAGCCATGGAAGTGTCTTTCAAAAATTCTCTAAACCAGGGTTTTCTTTTAAGTCATTAAGATGAATCAAAATTATATATTTATGATGGACATAACTGAAGTATCAAGATTCTAAAAGTTCTTTCATTGTTGAAGGTAATTGCTTGAAGGTAATGTCAAATGCGTGTTTGGCTTACTAAAAGCCTTCTGTTCAGCTGTTGAATGCAGTGCACAAGGTTCTGAAAATGTGTTTTTCTTTAGACAACTTCTATACTTGAGTCTTATCTTTTAAATGAATCTGGAATACCTCTTAGTTGGACCTTTAGTATTCCAGAAAGTTGAATGTTTTTCCTCACTTCTCTGAGCATGTTTAGTAGCTCATTCCATCATTTAAAAATGTTAATTTAATATACTTATGGATGAAGGAAATATTGTGCTAGGTATTGGAAATCTAAAACTAATAGAAGGCCATATCTCAAAGTCTTTATAACCTGTGAGAAATATACATCAATAGCATGAATTCACAATATCATGTGATAATGTTTCATTTAGAAATAATATTAGTGGCTCTGTATACTAAAATTGCCTATCATAATGCAGATCCTGAAACTTTCATTTCAGTAATATGATAGATTGTTTATTTATAGAAACCCTAATATGTTATAATTTCAAATACAAATATAGCTCTTTTTTTTATACCTGGCATAGTGGAAATGGTGACAAAGGAAGGGAGCCCTTAGGCAAGAAGTGAGGAAAAAAACATCAGTTCACAAAGAAGCAAATACTAGATGTGGAGTTTGTGCAGGGATATACAGGAAGATAGGAGAAAAGGCCAGGAGGAATAAATAGGGTAAGAAGATAGGACTCTACCTATGAAGCTGGGATCTTAGAAGGATCTTAGAACTATCATGAGGGAACCACTCTGCTGTCGTAAATTAAAAATTTACTTTCTTCTTCAGGTCTTGACTCTGAACAGAATGGGAAAAAAGAATCCTCTAAAGAAATCCCCACAAACCAACATTCTCACATTTAGAGCCAGAATTTACATATTCTGTTTGTTCCCAGAATCCAAAATTGAAAATTTAGATTGGTTTAGTAATGCCCACACTTGCCTGTTAAAAGCAAATGTAAATCCATTCTGAAAAGACTGATTTTGAAACTCAGGTCTCAATGAATTTCCATAACTAATAATCAGTAAATATACCCCAAATGCAATACTGATTTTACATTTAAAAATTTGTTAATTCCTTCATGCATAGATTGCTATAATCATCTCATTCATTGTCCCTGAACCCTGCCTCCAGTACTACGTCACACTGTCCTCACATCAATGATTATGCTGAAATGAAATCATTATTTGTGTATTTGTTTAGTATCTGTCTCCCCAAACAGAATATTTTCTCCAAGAAGGCAGGAATTGCATTTATATTAGCAATTATTGCAATCACAATACTTAGTGTTACACTTAATGTATAGTTAGTCACTAATAAATGTTGGATGAATAAATGAGTGGGAAGTTGTACCTCATTTGGTTGGATCCCTCCTCATCATTAAGATCATCTTATATGTTTTATAGAGAAGGACATTTGTTCTTTCTTTCTGAAGTGATTTCTTCTAAGCATTAATTTTGCTAAGCTTAGTGACTTTTAGTGATATTCCAGCTGCATTTGGGAGAAAGACTTTATAAAAACCCTTTGGGATATTGTTTGTGTGTCCTGTCAATAGATGGAAAAACACAACCTTGTGGGAATGTAAGCAAAAAACTGTACTGCCCCAGGTTCTCAAGAATACTCAATTCATGTGCCAGGGTTTTTTCCCCTTATGCTCATTCCTTCCTCTTTTCTCTTTAATCCCACCTTATGTTAGAGAACTTCCCTCAGTGTGTGCTGGAAATCTCTGATCAAGAGGTGTTGGAATGGTACACTGCCAAAGACTTTATTGTTGGGAAACCACTCACTATCCTTGGGAGAAATTTTTTCATTTATGATTGTGATCCATTTACTCGACAGTTCTACAAAGAGAAGTTTGGAATTTCTGATTTACCACGCATTGATGTGAGCAAGCAGGAACCACCTCCTGTAAAACAGGTATAGTAGTTCTGAGTATGGTGAGAAAAAAATTACTTTATGTAGAAATTGAAAAAAATTAAAAGAGAACTCCTATATGAATGCTCAATTAAAAAACAAATGAAGAATATGTAATAGAGTAGTTCACAAAAGAAATATAAGTAGCCAATTGACACATGAAAAGACCTTCAATCTAATAATCAAAGAAATGGATTGAAAATTATAATATTTTTGAGTTTGTCTAATTTAAAAAAGATTCACAATATCCAATCTTTGCCCATGTGAAGGCATGTGAATTTTCACATACTATTAATAGGAAAGCCAATCAGAATTTTTCTGAAAGGTGGTTTGTCATCATTTTGATTTTTAAAAATAAAACGTTACATACTTTTGGCCTAGAAAATATGTTTTTGAAGACAAAGAGATATGTGTTTTATAGTGAAATAAAGTATAAGGTGGTTGACAATTTAAATTAAGATATGTTAATCCATATAATTAGAAGACTTAAGGGCCTGTAAAAGAGGAAGTAAGTCTGTGTGTACTAACATGGTCCAATGTGCATAATACATTTTAAGTGTATTTATATTTATAACATGATCCTATTTTTGTAAATTCCCCTATATAATATCTGCTTATATATACTGAGGAAAAAACCTGGAGGGATGTCAGCTACATTATTAATGGCAGTTGGTTCAACATGTGGGAATGTGGAGGTGCAGATGACCAGAGAACTTCCTTTTTATGCTCCTATGTTTGACTTTAATTTTTCTTTTTGTATCAAAGCAGGCATTGCTTAAAAAACATTTTATTTTTTAAATTTTTCATTTATTTTTATTGTGATCAAATACGCACCAGCATACCATCTTGATCACTTAGAAGTTCAGTGGTATTAAATAGTTCTTTTAAATTGTGGTTTTGTGTGTATGTATGTGTGTGCTAGGGATCAAACCTGGGGCCTTGCCTTATGCATGCTAGACAAGTGCTTTACTACCAGGCCACATCCCCAACCCTCATAAATTATGTAGAAAACAGGAAATTCCAAATCAAAGTTACAATAATACTAGCTTTTAGACAATTTTTAAATGTAATATATTAGTCTTTTAATGAGTCTCTATGTATTCACTTTTATCAAGATCTTTATTTCTTCATACATCTTCAAATTACTACATAGCATCCTTTAATTTCATTTAACCCTGAAGGACTTCCTTTTCTTGCAGGTCAGTTGTAGTGGCAACTAACTCCCTCAACTTTTGTTTGTCTAGAATGTCTTAATTTCTTTCCCATTTTTGAAGGGCATCTTTGCTGCATATTGTCTTCTTGGCTGATAAATTTTGTTCTTTTGAATATTTTTTGTCCACTGCCTTTTTGGCCTTCAATGTTCCTGATAATAAACTTGCTGAAAATCTTATTGATGATCCCTTGTATGTGACAAGATACCCTCTCTTGCTGCTTTCAAGATTCTCTTTTTATCTTTGTATTTTGAAAGTTTGATTATAATATATCTTACGGTGTGAGTCTCTTTGAATTTATCTTGTTTATCAAGCTCATTAGATATTTTTATTCATGGATTTCATCAAATTTGGAAACTTTCCAGATATTATTTCCTTCAAATATTATCTCTTATCCTTTCTCTTTCTTTCCTCTTCCTAAGACATATACAGTGCATATATTGGCATATTCCCACAGACACCTTAAACTCTGTTCATTTCCCCCATTTTTTTCCTTTATATTCCTTAGACTCAATAAATTCCATTATCCTAACTTCAAGTTCACTGATTCTTCTGCTGATTCAAGTCTGCATTTGAATAACTTTAATTTTCAGCTCCATAATTTCTTTTTGGGTATTTTATTTTTCAATTCATGTTTCCATTTTGTCCATGTATGTTTCTGTTGACTTTTTTTCATATCTTCCTTTTGTTCTTTGAGTACTTTCAAGACAGTTGTTTTAAAGTCTTTGTCTAGTAAATCTGCCATCTGAGTTTTTTTCAGGGATTGCTCTATTGAATTTTTTTCCCCACTTGAAAGGGCCATACTTTTCTAGTTCTTTGTATACCCTGTAATTTGTTGTTGTTGAAAACTGGACATATAAATTTAATAATATGGTAACTCCGGAAATCAGATTCTTCTCTTTCTCTATAGTTTGCTGGGGTTTTGTTGTTGTTGTTGTTGTTATGTTTTCATTACTTTTATTTTCAATTATTGTAGGCAGTTTCTGTGTCAAGTATCAGCCTGGGGTATAAAATGAAGGTCTTTTGGGGTCTCTTCTGCATATTTCCTATGCAGTAATTTAAAATTTTTCCTTGTATATGCAGTTGTTTTTGAATGTCCTTCTTGTTAGTATCAAGCTTCCAAAAGAGGAAAAAGAATAGTGAAATGCAGGAAATGAGATACCAGACCTTTAGAGTTACTTCCTCTGAGAGGGAATGGCTTGTAGCAGTGCAGGGAGGTGCAACAACAATGGCCATCTGCCTGTTTGTCAATTCTCTGTGATCAGAAATAGCCATCACTGATCCATACTCAAATCCCCAATATTTGGAGGACAGAGTAATTTTTTTTGCCTCCTCTGGCTCCTGCTGGTTGTATGCAAGTTAATGTAGTCTGCTTACCGCAGGGTTGAGGAGTATAGGATTGGTAGCTGCTACTGTATAAGAGCTGAAATTTATGAAAATTCACCAATTTACTGCCTAAGCCTTCTTCTGAAAGTTACAAGTCTTCAAGAGACTCCAGAATTTTAAAATTACTACCTCAGATTCTGCAGTATAATTGTTGTTTAGGTAGAGAGAGAGTGAGTCCTGGTATTTCCTACTTTGGCATCTTCCCCAAATTTTCCCTTGTATTATTTTTATAACATTTTTATTCAGTTTGATTTTTTTTAAAAAAAGAGACATCTTTTAAAATTTCAGACCCTAGGGTATTTCATTATTCTTTTCCTATTCATCATATTTATCATATCACAAAAATGGTTGGGAGCAAAACAAAGACTGATTAATTAAAGATGTTGGAAGATGACCTTTCGTTGCAACATAGCTTTCTTAGAGCCACAGTGGGACACACAATTCTGTGTATTCCAGAAGTCTACTCTGACCTGAGAATAAGTTCATAGCACCTTATAATGTGCCAAAGTAGTGATCTGATAAACATGAACCTTCAGAATTTTATCCAAAGCACATATTTTTAAAGAATTTCAAAAGAAAATTGCAAGTTATAAAAATTACATATATAGTAAATTGAAGAAGTATCTAAGGTATTAAGATGGTATAATATCATGAACTAAGAAAACCGGCTTTTTGTTATACCTGTTTGTACAGAAGCACCTCATACAAATCTCTCTATGACTGTTACTCATGTGTAAAATAGGATATTAATACCTACCACCATATTTATTTTGCTGGTGTGTGCATAAAACCACATCATTGGGCTTTTTCTCCTCAAAAGGAATAAATGAAAGGATGGAATTATTGAATTCCTCCAGCCCAGGCCCTTCATTTCTGCCTCATTTCCTTCTTCTCTTACTTTTACTTAGCCAATAATCATACTAAATTACATGAGATTCTGCCAATAGAATGTTCTGTTTCATTCTGCCAAACTTTCTCTTGTTCTCTTCCATCTGCTTGAACCACTTTTCCATCATCCCTTCACATGGCTCATTTTATACTTTAACACTCAGTGTTGGCTTTCTCTCCTCCAGGAAAGCTTCTCTAAAGTTCTAGTCAAGGATAATAAAAGCTTTTTGTCTCTGCTCTTGGGGTATTTTATGCCTCCCTCCTCCCTGGCACTCATCAGTTATATTAAAAATTCTGTTTATGAATATTTTCTACTGGACTATAACTTCCTTGAGGCCAGGGACTATATTCTTTTTCATTTTTCAGCTCCTAGCACCTATTGCAGTGCCTAACAAATAGGAGATATGTAATATGTTTTTTGAACTGGACTATGGAAGACTGCCTGGGAAACATATGTTATGTTCCCCAGGAAGGCAGCAGATGTCTTTAGACAAGTCTTTCAGAAACAATGTTTCATAAAACCAGTTAAAAAGAAGAATTTGGATTTTGGTAGACTATAAGTTCCCATGAGCAATAACATTTCTGGAAGGAAATGTGGTAGCTCCTGCTGTCAGTTTTTTCTCTGATAAAACTCATAAAAGAGTGTTCACTGATTAAGAATTATAATTAATCATCTGATGCTAAAATTGTTTTGCAGAAGTTGATGTACTACAGAGAAAATATCATAGGAAAAGATCTAGATTTTTATGAAACAAATTATTCTACCACTTTAGTTTTTAGATAAAGACAGGGCAAAATGATAGTTTAAGGTATTTGCCCATTGTAAGACACAAGGAATTTCTATTATACATCAAAAATTCATACAAGAAGGAGGTAGTATGGACAGGGACTACAACATAGTAATGCCCTTAATGAAAAGGCTTTGATCCATCTTTTAACCCAATGAAAGCTTTTGAGTCTTAGGTTACCTCTGTCCCTCATACCCTCATAATCATTACTATGATCTCCACCCCCCACCCCAATAACCTGTCTTTTAAGGGGAAAAAAAGGATGAAAAGCTTGGATAAAGAACAGAGATAACTGAAGAACCACTGTAGATTTTAGTTTGTTTTTCTCCCCTTCTTCTTGCTTCTATGTTTAATAGAAACAAACTGTATATATAATAAAACATCCATACATATGGCATATTAACCATAGCATTGGTTAATTTTTAGTGACTTCTCCACAATATATAATTCTCATATTAATAAATTCTCTGCCAATCTCTGAAAATCTTTGTTAGAGAAGAGTAAGAAAGCTCCAGTTATCAAGAAGCAAATATCTTTCAGTCCTTACATGAATCATCCTTGGTTATTACACATCATTTATTTTAACTCTAAACAACATAAATGGAAAACAAGTATGGGAAGCTGTAGCAGGATTGAGATAGATAAAGCTAGAGCCAAACCAATGGCCAAGGACAGTAGTAAATATAAACTGGGTATATATCATTCGAGAATCAAGGCACTTTTAGGTCAAACTGCTCTGCTAGGTCAAGAGTAAGTAACTATAGATCCAACGACCACATGTATTTTATCTTGGCTGGATCCATCTGGAGGAAAAGGAAGGAACCAGTGTTAAGAAAGCTAATCTGATTGGGGTTGTCCCTAAAAAGAATATCTGAAGGAATATGAGACTCTCAGGCTCAAAGTATAGTAGCTTGGTTAAGAAAGCTCAGGCATAACTCTGGTAGGAATATCATATGAACAGGAAAATCTAGGAGTGATGATGATGTCCCATGGTCAGAGTGGCTTATCTATTTTAGAAGTGCAAGAAGCAAATTGCCAGGACCCCAGCCATGACGACCGATATTTAGGAAATGTCATTACTCTACTCAGGGGAAATTAAGTGTGATTCAGGAAATACAAGTGGGAATTTGAGAGAATAAGGTTCAGAGACCTATAAATGCCTCTCTGAAAATTCCTCAACCCTTGATTGCACCTCTAATCAGGATGTTCCCTTTATATATTGATACATATGCAGAGTAAATTCAGGACCACCACTTTGATATTTCTGCCTGGCCTCTTGAGAAACTCAAATGTTTAATGTGTCATATCTCAGCCAGAGGTCCCTCTGTCACAATAACCTGAATATTTATTGGGTATTGATTTTGCAATTGAAGCAAATTAGGCCATTGTCCACCTGCTGAATCCACTAGTCATATTCTGGACATTATTATACCTTTAACTACAGTCCTAACAAGTGGGTGAGTGGGTTGAAATTCCAATTAGTATACCTTAGATGAATATAATGGAGTCATTTGTTTTTGAGGGGATATCCTGTTGTAGCTGGAATTGGGGACTATATGAATTAATTTGATAATGAGCCTGAATATAATATATAAAAAGATTTTGAGAAAGCATGTACAAGTTTAAAATATATATTATAAATAATTTTTTACATTAAATATATGTATATACATTAAATATATATTTATATTAAATATATGTATATTTACAAATATATATAAATAATATATATTTATATATTTTTTATATATACATATATATAAAAATACACACACACACACACTCACATACACACAGGCTGAGTTCCCTGAGTGTACATGATAAAAAAAGAGTCAAAGAAAAAGAAGATTGTTGATGTTTGCCTAGTATTGATGTGGAAGATGAAAACTTAGTCTCTGACCTAAGATTTTAGGTAAACAGATTTCAGCATTTTATAATGATGCTTTAAGCTCTTCTATGTAGACAAAGGGTCTGAGTTCTCAAAAAGTATACCTGCCATCCTCTCCTGTGTGGCAAAAATTAAGAAATAAGAATATTAAAAATATAGAGGTAAATAGAAAAAAATGTATGAATAAAGTCCTGACCACCCCTTTGCCACCTACAACTTACACAGAAATGCATGCACACTTGGGTGATCTGAGAAAAGAGTTTTCAGATCTGCCACCCTGAGGCCAGCATCCTAAAACAAAGAGACCAGAGAGACCCATGGGTCTTACCATCTTAGGGTGACCATAAGGTCATTTTCACTGGCAGAGTAGGATTAGGTCCTGCTTTGGTAGTAAGTAATCAGGGGGCATCACTAATAGTTTCTAGCCCTAGCAGTTACATTGTAGCATCATTAGTCATTTCTGTGAGCAGTAAACATCATAAAAAGGAAGAATGGAATTTTATTTTTTTCTGATTGAATTTGTATATAGTGCAATTGGTTTTGAATAAGTGTTTTCCAGAGGATTTTTTTCCCCAGAGGATTTTTTAAACTTTGATGTAATTTTTTTTTTTTTTGTGGGTGGGTATTAGGGTTTGAACTCAGTTTAACCACGGAGCCACATCTCTAGCTCCTTTTAGTGTTTGGGTTTTTTAAATTTTATTTTCAGACAGTGTTTCGCTAAATTGCTAAGGCTGGCTTTGAACTTTTGATCCTCTTGCCTCAGGTTCCCAAGTTGCTGAGATTATAGGCATGAGCCACCGTACTTGGCTTTAATGTAATTTTAACACAAATAGCATCTGCTTTACTTCTTGATTCCTGTGTATCTCTAGGAATTACCTCCTTACAATGGTTATGGATTAATTGAAGATTCTGCTCAGAATTGCTTTGCTCTTATTCCAAAAGCTCCAAGAAAAGATGTTATTAAAATGCTGATGAATGACAACAAGGTGCTTCGTTATTTGGCTGCACTGGTGAGTCAAATTTTTATGTACCTCCTGTTCTTAGAATTGTGTACTCTTGTCCAATTTGCCTGTCTGTTTTTACTAAAACAAGTACTGAATCTAGACCCTAGTCTTCAAGAAGGTTGAATAATACTGAGTATAGTCCCCCTGAACCAAGACCTAGCTAAAGTCCTGAAGTCCTTTCTCCCCCATGAACCTTTTTTAGATCATTAATCTCTCTTTTATTCTTCAAATTTCAACAGACCTTGTTGCCTCTTTAGTAAGCAATTATGAAATTTTGTGCTGTATTCAAATAATTTATGTATTTATGTATCTTTCCAGGTAATATGATTTAGTAATGTCTTACTAAATTTTATTATTAGCTGTGATATCTAGCTTGATATATTTTATATTCATTAAATGTAAGAAATTGAGTCATACCATATTAATAGACACTGCCTTTTAGAGGTTATGTGATTGTGGTTAAGAGCATGGAGATTGAAAATAGACATAAATTCAAAATTAAACTTCACACTTTTTTTTTTTTTTTTTTGGTACGAAGGATTGAACCAGGTGCATTTAACTATTGATACACATCCACAGCCCTTTTTAGTTCTTGAAACAGGGTCTCCCTAAATTTCTTAGCACCTTGCTCATTTATTGAGGCTGGCTTCGAAATTGCAATCCTCCTACCTCAGCCTCCCAGGCCACTTGGGCTTTCAGATGTGAGCCACCAATGCTCAGCTAAACTCAAACATTTTTAAAACCATGTTTAAGGAGGTAAACAATAAGATAGAGAATTTCAGCAAAAACTGAAAACCAAACCAAAAAAGTCTATTTTAGTTTTGAAAAATAGTCATATTGGTAGAATAAAAGAGAAAAGATAGATTCTGAAAAGCATTTGATAAAATTAGTCTCTTATGATTTAAAAACAAATCTTTTAATAGAGAATAAAACATTATTTTTTTAATCTTTTAAAGGCAATCTGCCAAAAATCTACTGTAAACAGTATACATAGTGAGGAAATGTGAGCAGTATACTTCCTGACGTTAGGAACAAGGCAAGACTGCTCTCACACCTATGTTCAACATTATTCTGGAATTTCTTGCTATGGCAATAAGATAGGAAAGGACAGAGAAATGCATAAGGATTGAAGAGGAAAAAATAAAATTTCATTATCCAAAATTAGTGGTTTTATATGTAGAAAATAAAAATAATCTACATTCTATGTTAGTAAAGTCAATACAAATATCAGTAAACAAAAAAAGTTTAAAATACCATTTACCATAGCACCAAAAATATTAAATTCCTAGAAATAAATCAAACAAAAGGTACATAATACCTAAAACATTATAAAGAAAATTAAAGAAGACCTAAATAAATGAAGGGGCATATTATATTCATTGGTTAGAAATTTCAGTATTACAAAAATATTTGCTCCGAATTTATCCATGATTTCAAAGTTGTGGTAACCAAAATCCCAAAGTGTTTTTACTTTTGCAATTTGACATACCAATTCTATAATTTAGGTGGAGATGCAAAGCATCAATAATAGCCAAAACACTGTAGGAAGGGAATCAGATCAGTGGATTTTCTCAACAAAACATCTCAATGTATTATACAGCTATAGTAATGAAATCAATATATTTTTGGTGCAAGGATAGATAATTAGACCAATGGACTAGGATAGTCAGCCCAGAAACAGAGCTATATGTGTAAGATACATGGCAAATATGGCACTACAGAGAGGTTAGGAAATAAGTTATTTTTAATAAATTATATCAGAACAGGTATATCCACATGGAAAAAAAATAAAAATATTTGAACTTTACTTCACACCAAAAATAAAAATTAATCCTGAATAGATTGAAAATTTAAATATGAAAGGTGAAACAATAAAACTTCTTAATGATAGTATAATCTTAATTCGTAGTAGAGAAGATTTATTTAGTAGAAACCAAAAAGCAGTACTTGTTTTAAAAATGGGTAAATTTAACTACATTAAGTTGAAGAATTTCTGTTCCTCAACAAAACAACCAAAAACACACCAAAAAAACAAAAACAAAAACCACCATTGAGAGAGTAAAAAAGGCAAGCTCAGAATGAGAGAAAATGTGTGCTACAGAAATCCTAAGAACTCATATCCAAAATATGTGAAGGACAATCTCAACTCATCCCTTCCTTCCTCTCTTCCTTTCCTCCCTCCCTTTCTTCTCCTTCCTTCCCTTTCCTTCCTTCCTCCCTTCATTCCTTCCTTCTTTCTCTCCCCCACCCCCTCTTTTTTTTTGTATGGGGGATTGAACCCAGGGGTACTTAACAACTGAGCCACATCCCAGGCCTTTTTATATTTTAGTTTGAAACAGGGTCTTGCTAAGATGCTTGGGGTCTCACTAAGTTACTGAGGCTGGCTTTGAACTGGTGATCCTTCTGCCTCAGCCTCCCAAGCCGCTGGGATTACAGGTGTGTGCCATTGCACCCAGCTCAATTCATTTCTTAACAGGCATTTCATAAAAGAGAATATCAAAAAAGCCTTTAAACATATGAGAAGGTGCTCAGCCTCCTCAGTAATCCGGGAAGTGCCAATTACTACCTCAATGAACTGTTCCCTCGCCCATCAGAATGATTAGTATGTTGGTGAGAATATAGAGCCATAGGAACTCTCATACTCTCAGTGATACTTCCACTTAGTAAAACAATTTAGCATAGTCCAGAATATCATATTGTGCCAAAATGATAGTATTCTATTTATACACCAAAAGATAAATATGTTCATAACAGTATAATTTATAATAGCCAAAAGTAATAGCCATAATATCCATACTAGACCTAAGTATCTACCTATTAGAGAATAGATAAATAAATTATGGCTAATTTGTACAATGATTTGAATTCTATACAGTGAAAATTAGTGAACTGTAACCTAAAATATTAGCATGGATAAATCATACGAACATAATTTTGAGAGTACTGGGGATTTAACCCAGGGACACTTAATCACTGAGCTACATCCCCAGCCCTTTTGTCATTTAAGACAGAGTCTCACTAAGTTGCTTAAGTTGGGCTTGTGATCCTCTGGTCTCAGCCTCCTGAACTGCTGGGATTACAAGCATGTGCCGCCATGCCTGGCCAAACATAATTTAAAATGTAAGGTTACAGACACAAATTAATACATACATGTCATATAATTTCATTTAAAATAAGATTTAAAAGGAGTCAAAACAAAACTATTTTGGGATGGCTGTTTGTGATGATAATAAAGAAAACCATAAAACTCAAGATAGTGGCTTTTTTGGTGGGGAAAGGTAGCATATAGAGAGCACTTTCTAGGTTCTGTCAGTGTTCTATTTCTTGACATGGGTGGTGATTACATGGTTGTTCACTTTGTGAAATTCTTTGAGCTGTATATTACGGGTTTTTCTTTGTTTTTGTAGTTCTCTCTTTGTTGTAGTTCATGACAAAAAAAAAAAACATTTAAAAGAAAGCCATCAGAATTATTAGCAATGAAATAGTGGGTATCTTTGAATAGTCAGGGAAAAAGAAGTGATATTCTTTCTGGTCAAGGTAATTTTCAAATGTTTTTTTTTTTTGACTTATTTGCTAAAGTAGAGAACTGTATTTATTAGGCTCCTCACAAAAGTTCTAAAAAAAGAAAGCATGCTGGACAACCAGGGGGAAAGGTGTAGGAGTAAGGTGGGGACTTCAGAAGAAAAGAGGGAAATTAAGTTAAAAATGACCAGAGACAAATATCAATAGGTTCAGTATAATTGAGTTAATATAAGGAGTTCAGACAAGGACACTGGACATGTTGTGAGACAATAAAGTGAAAGAAAGCTAGGCAGGTGATTGTTGCCTAAGTAAAAATCTGCTGGTAAACTGCCTGGGACTCAGAATAGAGTGCTGGCCCAGGAACTTGGGGAAGTGTAAAAACATTAATTTGAGCACAAAAGAAAAACTTTATGCCATTACAAGAGAAAAATTGGTTCTGGTGCATGTCCTGCCTGTCAAAGAAACTCTGAAGACCAAAAACACAGAAGAATCCAATTTGCTCAACAAAGTTTATTTACATTAGGTACTACACATGGTGGTTGTCTGATATGAATTTTAGTGTACTATGTTAGGTCCTTCGAAAAATATGTAATTACATTATTCACAAATGAGGAGCAAATCATTCAACTACTCAAATTTTCAATTTCTTTTTTTTTTTTTTAATTTTGAGACAGGGTCTCATTAAGTTGCTTAGGGTCTTGCTAAGTTGCTGAGGCTGTCCTCAAGTTTGTGATCCTCCTGTCTCAGCCTCCTGAGTAGGTGGAATTACAGGTGTGCACCGCCATGCCCAGTAATATATCATATTTTTTAAAAGTTGTGGCCTGGAGTGTAGCTCAGTGGTAAACTGTATGCTTAGCAAGCTAGTTGAGGACTTGAGGAAGGGTTAGAAGAGCATTAAAAACAGAATTTGAACAGTGATTTTCAAAACAGTGTACATGCCCTCCAAAGGGTATACAAGACCATACAATATGTAATGTTTGTTAAGAAAATATTATTTTGTCTGTTGATTTTATATTCTTTTTTTTTTTTTTTTGGTACCCGGGAGTGAACCCCAAGTCTTTAACCACTGAGACACATCCCCAGCCCTTTTTCATATTTTGGAGACAAGGTCTTGTTGAGTTGCTTAGGGCTTCACTAAATTGCTGAGGCTGGCTTTTAACTTGTAATTCTCCTGCCTCAGCCTCCCATGCCACTGGAATTACAGGCCCGTCACCATGCCTGGCTATCTATATCTTACTTATGAGTGCACTTATTTCATAGCCCCCAATATTTTTATATGTGCTTTGTAATGCATAAAATATGTAGTAGAACTTATGTTTATTGATTGATTTTTATTATATACCTGGCTCTGTAGGAATTTAAATTTGGGGAAACTGGCTAGATTAGGAATCTTCATAACATCTTCTTTTCTTCACCCTTCTAGGAATCCCCTATCCCAGAAGACAAAGACCGCCGATTTATCTTCTCTTATTTTCTAGCCACTGACATGATCAGTATCTTTGAGCCTCCTGTTAGAAATTCTGGTATCATTGGGGGCAAGTACCTTGGGAGGACTAGAGTTATTAAACCATTCTCTGAGGCAGAAAACCCCATCTACTATGGCCCCAGCGACTTCTTCATTGGTGCTGTCATTGACGGTAGGTCCAAACACAGTTCAGAATTTCCCACTGACTGAGTAAATGGGTTCTTCTTAGTTGTAATTTAATTAATTTAAGTTTTGTGAGAGGCAATTAGGTTTTATTCCAGATGAGATAAATCTAGTAGACTTTTATAAGTGGTATAATATCTTAACCTCATTCCTTATCAATTAAACTTTAGATTGGTTGCATTTGTTGGCACTAAATTTTTTACATTAATGCAACCATGTTAGTTAGGTGTTGACAATGGTCTTCCTAAAAGCTGAGAAAAGTACTGCATATTAATTTATACAGCTATTGATAATTCATTAGTCTGGGTGATATCGTTGGAGTGTTAATAGTATTTTATCTCTGATCACATGAGGGAAACAATAAAACTAAGTGTATTGCTACCTCTTTCCAGTGTTTGGCCACCGATTCATCATCCTTGATATAGATGAGTATGTTCTAAAATACATGGAGAGCAATGCTGCCCAGTATTCACCAGAAGCACTCTCGTCAATTCAGAACCATGTCCGAAAGCAAGAAATTCCTGCACCAGAACTAGAGAAGTATGTTTGACTGCCTAGGGTCCTTTTTGGCCTTGGCATATGCAAAATTTCCAGGAAGTAATTCTTGTCAAAATGAATGTGTAATAATATTTTAGACTTTCAAATTTCCCTCATCATATTGGAGTTTATTAGATCTACACAAAAAGTTCCCTGAATTTAGTATAATAACTAGTAACTTGGAACTTTTTCAGCTACATTTATTTAGCAAATAATTATTGAATACTTGTATTTAAGATGCTATCACTAGGTCATTGAGCTTTAGCAATAAATAAAATAGACAAGAAGTTGTTGACATCATGGAATTGACCTTCTAAGCAGCAAGAGATAGATATTAACACAAATAAGTAAATTATACAGTATACTAAGTGACAAATGCCATGGGAAAATAGGGCAAAATGCACATGATAAGGGCTTCTGGATGGGGGAACTGGGTTGTAGTCACTTAGTGTGGATGATTGTACCTTAAGAAAGTGACCTTGAGCAACACTTTGGGGAGTTCACCTGGTGGACATCTGGAAGAATAGCTTGTATAAAGAGTGCAAAGTCTCTGAGGGGTAGCACACACCCAGCCTAGAGTATTCAGGTAGCACTGGCCAGCAGTAGACTAGTGGGAGTAGCTAACATGGAGGGAGGTGAGGGAGAAGAAGAGATTGAATTAGAAAACTAACAAAGGGCCAGGTTGTGTAGGGCCTAACAGGTCTGTGGAAAGATCTTGGTCTTTCTCTGAATGAAATGAAAATCCGTGGGATTTTCTGAGTAGAGGAATAGCAAGATGTGATATATGTTTTAAAAGAATTACCCTGGCTGTTCTATTGAAAATAGATTAGGAAGGAGACCAGCTAAGAGGATCACAGTAGTAGTCCTGGCAAGGCATGATGATGCATGGACCAGGGTGGTGAGTGGAGGTGTGGGAAAAGTGTGGTGATTTCATTATATTTTGAAGGTAGAGCCAGTGTGACTACAGACAGATTATACAGGGGCTGTGAGAAAAAGAGAATAGTTAAGGATACTCTAAGGTTTTTGGCATGAACATCAGGAGGGAAGGACTTGTCATCAACTGAGATGGAAAAATGTGGACTATAGATAGAGGAGGTTTTTAGTGGAATAAAGGTGGGAATTTTGGTTTTGGATATACTAGGTTTAATACTTAAAAGAAATAGCCAAGTAGAGATGTCATATAGACTGTTGGGTATGTAAGTCAGGAGTTCAGGTGAGAGGTCTAGGCTGAAGAAGTCAATGTGGCAATTGTTGTCATATAGATGATATTTTAGGCCATGAGACTGAATGAAATTTCAAAGGGAGTTAGTATAGATAAATAAGTGAATAGCCCAGCACAGTGGTGTAATCCCAGTGACTTGGGAGGCTGAGGCAGGAGGATTGCAAGTTCAAGGCCAACCTCTGCAATTTTTTGAGGCCCTAAGCAACTTAGTGAGACCCTATCTCAAAGTAAAAAAATAAAAGGGGCTGTAGTTCAGTAGTAAAGCATGGGCTCAATCCTCAGTACCAAAAAGAAAAATAAAAAGAAAAAGTGCAGCTAGGCTTTGAGGTCCTCTGATGCTAAGAACAGGAGAAACTGGAAAGGACCACCAGTAGGCAGAAAAAAAGTCAAGAGAGTATGGCAACCTGGAAGTCACATAAAGAGAGTATGGACAGTCCTCCTTTTTCAGTTGTGTGGGACTGGAAACACCATTGAGTGACTGTGAAAAACAACTGTAATAATACAGGAAAACTTACTATTATTCTGTTAAAAAAATTTTGTCACCATATTAATTCTGATCATTATGTTCATGTAGGGAAACAAAAAAATGGTAAAACTAGTTTTTACTCAGCACATTGTAGTTTAAAACAATGGGAACTGAGAAGTAAAGTATTTTATTTTTGAAAAAAAAGTATCAAGAGTAGTTTGAACAGTGCTTGCCTTGTTCTAATTGTGTAACTTGTGATACAGAGTGAACATGTTTTCTGTGACTTGGCACATTGTCATACTCCTGTTTAAGTTTGGTCAATTTCTAACATTTTTATCATTTTTACCTTCAAATGTCATGAAAGATATTCTAGAATTTCTTTACTGAGGGTAAGTTGTCTCTGAGAGTTCTTCTCACAGCAGTATTTTTATGGGCCTCCAAGGTATTCTCGTCCTTTTCATTGCAACTGCTTTCCTCACCTGTGTCAGTAGCTTCACCTTCATGGAGTTCCTCTGGCCACATATCCACCGTCTTTTGAAAGAAAGCAGCATCCACATTGCCACAGTCAACTGTTTCTTTCATAACTCCATTTATGTTTGACCAGAATTTCACTTTTGGACAATTCCCTCTTTTGATGATCCATTTTTGTAAAGTATCATGTTGCTGTGTCCCCAAGAAAGAGGAGGCAAAGTAGTTATGCACTTGGCTGTGAATGAACTGAAAAACAGATGCACGGGAACCAAGAGACAATAGACTTGGAGACAAGTGATGTGATTGTCACTGATCATAATGTGCATCTGCTATTTATGTTACAATTAGTTCACTAATGACCTGACATAGAAGTTTTTACTTTATGAATTACTCAAGGTTAATAAACTGTGGTAACTTGGATTTGAACCATGTTGTTGAGGGACTGGGTTGTTTTACTAAATGGTGGTGACTGAGATTCATGCATCTTAGAACTGTGCAAATCCAGAACTGTCAGTGTATCAAGGAAGATGGAATGATTTATGTGTCAAATAAGGATTTGGCATTTTGCACAGAATTGGGGAGCTTAGTGAGGAGTTTTAGGGCAAAGAGAGGCATAAGAAAATTTAATGGGAGTGGATTTAAGAGAGAATGGAAAGAGGAATTTTTTACCAGAAGTACAGATAACTCTTTTGAGAAGGTTTGGTGCAAAGGTGAACAGAGAAGGAATGGAGAAGCTGGCAGAGGAAGAAAATTCAAGACAGGTTTTGTTTTGTTTTTGCTTTAAAATAGAAGAAATAACAGCATTTTATATATGAAAATTCTGTAAGAGAGAGGGGGGGTGGAAAGAAAGAGAATTGCTAGAGTATGTGAAAGAGTATGGGGGTTAGTATTCAAGACAAGAAGGTGGCTTTAGGTAGAAGCACTAACCCTGCATCTAGGTCAATCATTCTTGAATATTTTGGTCATAGGACACTTTTGAAATCTTAAAAATTATTGAGGACCCTAAAGAATTGTTGTGTATCTTTATTTATATTTAGCATGCAAACTATATCTGAAAAATTTAAATATTAATTTTTAAAAGAAAAATAAACTCATTTCATGTTAACAAAAAATATAATTTCTGTGGGGAAACAAAATCCTCCATTTTCTCAATCAAAAGCCTTCAGTGAGAAGAATGGCATTGTTTTATACTTTTGCAAATTTCTTTAATGTCTGGTTTTACTAATAGAAGAGAGCTGAGTTTTTATCTGCTTTTTAATTTAGACTTCTATGATATCATTCCTTGTGAATCTTTGGAAAACTCCATTGTGCACTTGTGAGAAAACCTGAGTAAAATGATAAATAATGACCGAATTATTATGAGGATAGTTTTGGCTTTGTTAACCCCCAATAGCATCCTGGGAACCTTCAGGGATCTTGGGATTATTCTTTGAAACATTGTTCTTTGGCAGCAGGCAGGAAGGCAAGGCACCTGGGTACAGATGCTGGTAAGTACTTAGATATGCTTGGGACCCCTCCTGATTGTGCCAGTGAGGTAGTCAGTAGGAAGAATAGAAGTTGTGAAATGCTTTATTTATTAAATATATAGATGAAGTTAAAAATGAATATGAAAATAAAGTGAAAAAGACATAACATTATTTAATCTCCTAATAAAAAAGAGAGAAAATGCAAATTATAATCCACAGATATATGAAAAAAAATCCACATCAACTGAAAAATGGATCCTAATTCCAGAGATGTTAAAATATTTGTCTCAGACCTGAAGAAACAGGGCAGCTGTTTAGGAAAGCGGAAGGCTTAGTGGGGACTAAATACCACTAAGGGCCCATCCATGGTCATATTTAATTCAAGTACTTCTCAAAAAACTTTGTTCTGTAATTTCCCCATGTCTGTGCAAATACCAGCAGACAATAGAAAGCTACTTGTTTCAGCAAATTACCTTTTAGAAAAATCACATTTTTGATTTTGTATTGAGAAAAAAAATACCACTGGGGGGTCAATAAAAATAAAGAAAAATTCAAGTTCTTGGTTAAGAAATCTATTGCTATCCTTGTTTTGATCCTCACTTCTCCTCTCTTTTGATGGGTCAGAGATAAGTGAGAGGGAATTCTTCAAGATATGAATCCAAGTGTCATACCTTCTTTGTCTTCTAACCGTTTCATCTTTGGCTTATACCTCTCCCATCTTATCATGAATCTCACAGTAAGGAAATACAAATCCTTTATTTGACTAGAGTAATGAAAAGGTATTTGTCAGGCCTGAGTGAAAATTTTTATGTCACATGATAGTTTCAGGAGAAGAAAATTTAGAGTCAGCTATTTGTTTCTCTGAACCAGAAAATTAGAATGGTAGCTGAGTATTGGACTGCATTTTGAAGTTCTGAAATTCTTTTCGGGTCTTGATTTCTCATTGCAGTTTTTTAACTCAGATTTAAGGATAACAAATGCCCATGCTCATAAACCCATGCTCTACACAAAACCTGCATGTTTGACTAGCGTAACACACAAGTCCAGATAGATTATTCTTGTTCTATCTTTGTGTCATTTATGACCTTCAACTTTAAGAGGACCTCCTCTCCTTTCTTTTTCTCTTATTTTTCTCTCCTGCCACTTTTCCAAAGGAGAAATTTCCAAATATTCTCATTTGTTTTTCCATTTCCTTAAGTCCCAAGCTCTTCTATATTTTCTTTGCAGTTAGCTTCAAATATGAGATCAAAGTGATCCAGTATTTCCACTCTTTCCTTTATAATGTTTCTATATTATTACTCATTGTTTCTTTACTTTCTTTTGGCAGAGTAAGTAGCTCCTATTTCTCCAAACTTAATTCTTCTATTTGTGTCTGAAC